TTTAACTTACTGAGATTTGTTTTGTATCCCATCACATGGTCTATCTTGGAGAAGGTTTCATGTCTGATGAGAATAATGTATCTGCTTTGGTTCTTGCAAAGAATGTTCTGTAAAGCCCATTTGTTCTAGAGTGTAGGTTAAGTCCATTATTGGTTTGTTGACTTTCTGTCTCAATGATCTACTGCTACAGGTGGAATATTGAAGTCTTCCACTATTATTGGTTTGCTGTCTATCTCTTTCTTAGCTTTAATAGTAATTGTTTTATGAACGTGGGAGCTCCAGTGTTAGGTAAATATAAATTTATGACTGTAATATCTTCTGTTTGGATTGATCCTTTTATCATTATATAATGACCTTCTTTGACTTTTTTTTTTTTTTTTTTTAAACTGTTGTTACTTTAAAGTCTGTTATGTCTGGTATAAGACTAGGTACTCCTGCTCACTTTTCATTTTCATTTGCATGAAATATCATTTTTTACCCCTTTACCTTGAATTTATATGAGTCCTTACATGTTAGGTGAGTCTCTTGAAGATAGCAGATATTTGGTTTGTAATTTTTAAAATTGATTCTGCCAATCAGTTTCTTTTAAGTGGAGCATTTAGACCATTTATGTTCAATGTTAATATTGAGATGTGAGATACTGTCCTACTCATCATATTAATTGTTACCTACATACTTTGTGTTTTTCACTGTGTTGTTGTTTGATAGGCCTTGTGAGTTTTATGCTTTCAAGAGGTTCTATTTTTGTGCATATTGAGCTTCTGTTTCAAGATTTAGAACTCCTTTTCACATTTCTTTTCTTATCTTTTTTTTTGTTTGTTTGTTTGAGACAGAGTCTCACTTTGTCACTGAGGCTGGAGTGCAGTGGTGCGATCTTGACTCACTGCAACCTCCACCTCTCAGGTTCAAACATTCTGCTGTCTCAGCCTCCTGAGTAGCTGGGACTACATGCACCCACCACCACGTCTGGCTAATTTTTGTATTTTCTTTTTTCTTTTTTTTTTTTGAGATGGAGTTTTCCCTGTTGTTGCCCAGGCTAGAGTGCAATGACCTGGTCTTGACTTACCACACCCTCTACTTCCTGGGTTCAAGTGATCCTTCTGCCTCAGCCTCCCAGCTAGCTGGCCTTACAGGCAACCACCACCACGCCCAGCTAATTTTTGTATTTTTAGTAGAGATGGAGTTTCACCATGTTGACCAGGCTGGTCTCAAACTCTTGACCTCAGATGATCCACCTGCCCTGGCCTCCCAAAGTGCTGGGATTACAGGCATGAGGCACCAGGCCTGGCCTAATTTTTGTATTTTTAGTAGAGATGAGGTTTTACCATATTGGCCAGGCTGGTTTCCTGACCTTGTGATCCTCCTGCCTTGGACTCCAAAAGTGCTGGGATTACAGACATCAGCCAAAACACCCGGCCCTTTTCACATTTCTTGTAGTGCTGGTTTGGTAACACTACAAATTCTCTCAGCATTTGTTTGTCTGAAAATGAGTTTATCTCTCTTTCATTTCATTATATCACTCTTTCATTTAGTTTTGCTGGATACAACATTGTTGGCTGACAGTTGTTCTGTTTAAGGCAGCTAAAGACAGGGTCCCAATTCCTTTGGGCTTATAAGGTTTCTGTTGAGAAGTCTGCTGTTAGTCTGATAGGTTTTCCTTTATATGTGACCTGATGCCTTTTGTCTCACTGCTCTTAGATTTCTTTTCTACATGTTGACTTTTATGGCCTAATGACTATGCCTTGGTGGTGATCTTTTTGCAATGAGTTTCTCAGGAGTTCTTTGAGCTTCTTGGATTTGGATATCTAAATCTCCAGCAGGGCCAGGGAAGTTTTCCTCAATTATTCCTTCAAATAAGTTTTCCAAACTTTTTTTTTCTCTTCTTCCCTCAGGAACACCAATTATTCTTAGATTTGGCTGTTTTACATACTACTGTATTTCTTGGAGACTTTGTTCATTTGATTCTTTTTTCTTCATTTTTGTCTGATTGGCTTAATTTGAAAGCCTCATCTTTGAATTCTGAAATTCTTTTTTCTACTTATTCTAGTCTTTTGTTAATACTTTCCACTGCATTTTGTAATTCCCTAAATGTGTCTTTCATTTCCAGAAGTTCCTTTTTTTATGATATTTAGCTCTCTAGAAAATTTTTCTTTTGTAATCTGAATTTTTTTCTTTTAAATTTCTTTATGTTGGTTTTCACCTTTCTCTGGTATCTCCTTGAGTAGCTCTTATACAACATTCTGAAGTCTTCATTTGCTATTTCTAAAATTTTGTCTTAGTTTGGCTTCATTTCTTGAGCACTAATGTGATCTTTTGGGAGGTGTTATAGAACCCTATTTTATCATATTAACGGAATTAGTTTTCCGGTTCTTCCTCATTTGGGTAGACTGTTTCTTCTAATTATTCTTAAATTTATTTTTGATTTGACTGTATGATTTTATTTGTTATTTTCCTTCTTAAGGGTTTGACTTTAATGTTTATTGTTTGTTATAGCCTAATTTGGTTCTTGGTGCTTTTAGGGTTGAAAAGTCTGTATGATTTCCTTGGTTATAGAGAAACTTTGTATGATGGCTTTCTCAGATGCTAGACATAGCAGTAATGTACTCAGTGTGTGAGCAAACTTACTGTCTCTGGAAGCTTATCTCATTCCAATGTGGTATGTACTTTTAAACTTTTTTACTTTTCCCCAGTATTTCATTCACTGGGTTGATGATTCAGGCTTCAGACCAGTAGTGGAGGTGTTCCTAGGTAGCAACCAGTTGTGGCTAAAGAAGGTGGGTAAATGCAATACCCAATGGTGGGCAGAGGTCTCAGCCTTGACAAAGGGGGCTGAGGGAGTTGTCAGTGAGACACACTGAAGTCTTATCAGGGGAAGGGTGGTAGCCACCTTGGCTCCCCTGTCAGGTCAGCAGGGAAGCTATCCATCTCCCAGACACACACCTGTCCCAACATTCTGGCTATTCAGATCAGACAGGCCTCTCTTTTCATCTGTTGGAATGTTAATGTTCCAAGTAGACAATTGTGACTCTGCCTCTTATGTAAGCCTGAAACTGGAGGGTGCTTCTCCTGTGGGGATGCGGTCACCCTGAAGTGTTCGAGAAAGTCTGTCTATGGGTGCACCCATGCTGAGCTCTTGTGGGAGAAGACCCAGCTGTGTCTGCCGTGGTGGACGAGGTTGGTAAGAAGTCCCTTTCTCCAAGATCCTTGATAAGCATCAGGGCTGTCTGACTGTTGGGACAGCTGTAGACATTCCCTGCTGAACCCAGCACTGCAATTCTGCGTCTATTGAAAGAAACTTCCCACCAGTGGAACAATCTAATCTTCAAGACCTGCCATCTGGATTCTTTGGTCACACAAGGTGTTCCCTTGATGTGGCGCACTCTCCCTTTCCGTAGGAGAAGTTCCTGAGAGACAGACTACTATGAGTGTTGCTTCTCCTCTGGGTCTAGCCACTCAGTGGCTCCAGATTAGTGCTGGGAGATGTCTGCTAAGGATCTGGTGATATGACCTGTCCTCCAGTTTTTCAACAGCAGGTATCAGCACCAGATCTGATGGGGGTGCCAGAGGCGTGACATAGACTTTGTGAGATTCCTTGATTATAGATAACTTTAGTGCGTTGTCTTTCTTGAATGCTGGTTCAAGTAGTAATAAACTGGTCATGTGGATAGACTCCGGACCTCCTGGTTAGATAGGGTGGTGTAGGAAGTGGTAATAGCTGAGGTCATACAGTAGTTTTGTCCTTCCTGAGTGCAGTGTTATTCCACATACAGATGCTGTAATGGACTGTGTTGGTAGCCTTCCAGCTACTGGGTGGCGTTTGCAAAAGAGTACCAGGTGTGGTAGTAGCAGTGGGATTTGTGCTTGCCTTATGTTGCCCAGGGTAGGTAGTCTGGCTTCTCAGGTGATGGATGGGGCTATAAACCTCCCCAGGGTTTCTGTCCTTTGTATTAAGCTACCACGGTGGGTGGAGGGGCAAAGCCAGATGAGGGCTGTGTTAGGTGGGTCTGCACTCTGAGTCACCATGTGCATGGCAAGCAGCAGTCCCTGTTGGAGATGGGTTTGCACAGGGAGTGGGGAGTAGCAGGCAGCAGTAAGCCTAACCCAGATCTCACACAGTTGGCAAGGCAGATCTGGCTCCTGCAGTACTCTGCTAGCAGCAGTGAGCTAAGTTCCAGGCAGTCTGCACTCAGAGCTCACACCAAATTGCCATGGTGATAGCAACTGCTGGCTTTCGGGCCATGCCATACTCTGTTCACCCACACAGCTGGCACCCAGATCCCACACTCGTGGCTGCAACACATTTCCCACTCATCTTTCTGGTTCTGGCCAAGGGAGTTCATCTTCTCTTGAGGTTATATTGTGAATTTCAATTGGGAGTTTTTACAATGTGCATCCCCTGGCTGAGCTAGTTGGCTGAGTTCCACGAGGTAAGGAATAGCTTCCCTTGGTTCATGCTGGAGACTGGGAATACACACAGGCCTCTTCCTGCTGCTGCTGTTACTTTTATGTTCCTCACTGCTCTTTTAATTGGTTCCAGTGCTGGGAAGGGTTAAGGCCTTCTCCCATGGCATGGTCTTTCAGGTTCCCCAGTGGGGGTTTGTATCCTGGAGCCAGTCTCTTCACCTCTCACACCCTGGGGGCTTACAGTTTTTCACCTAACTGACGGTGTGGGATGTAACCTGCTGCTTTTTTCAAAGAGTCTATGGATTCTTTCAGTTTTCCTGTTCAGTTCCTGCATTGCTTCTTGGAAAAATGTACACAGTGAGAATCTTTATTTTTATTTTTTAGATGGAGTCTCGCTCTGTTGCCCAGCCTGGAGTGCAGTGGCACGATCTTGGCTCAGTGCAACCTCTGCCTCCTGGGTTCAAGTGATTCTCCTACCTCTTGCCTCCCCAGTAGCTGGGATTATAGGCACCCGCCACCACACTTGGCTAATTTTCATATTTTTAGTAGAGACGAGGTTTTGCCATGTTGGTCAGGCTGGTCTCGATCTCCTGACCTCAGGTGATCCACCCACCTCGGCCTCCCGAAGTGCTGGGGTTAAAGGTGTGAGCCACCATGCCTGGCCCACAGTGAGAGTTTTTTACTCACTATTTTATCCTTCCAAGTGGTAGAGTCATGCTAACACTGCCTCCAATCTGTCATCTAAAAAAAAAAATCCTGTTTTTAAAAAATTTAGAATAATTTGATGAACAACACACAGCTTAAAACACATGTGAATCCACAATATGCACTTCCTCATAGATCTTTTAGATGGTCTGGCTACCCCACCTGGAGCATTCTGACACTCCTTTATATTTAGCATGTTTGATTTTGCCCATCTATCACTTAACATCTGGAAAAGTTTTGGTAGAGTAGTATAAGCCTATTGTACAGATTCAGGAAGAACTTTTCGACATTATCTAAAACAATCTTTTTGTCTTTCAGTTTAGGAAATGCAGACGCAAATTGTTAATTGTCCTCCCAAAGCCACAAGGTTGTTACTGATAACTATCTTCCTATGGTTTGAATGTGTTTCTTGCACGATTCAGGCCTTGCCAGTGTGGTAGTATTGAGAGAGGTGGGGCCTTTAAGAGATGGTTTGGCCTTGAAGGCTTCTCTCTTGAGGATGGTATTAAGACCTTTATAAAAGAGGCTACATGTAGCATTTAGCTGGCTTGTCCTTCTGCTTTCTGCCACGTGAGAATAGCCTTCCTCCACTACAGAGAGTGCAGCTCTCTCCTGACATCCAAACCTGCCAGTGCCTTGATCTTAGATTTCCCAGCTTCTGGAATGCTGAGAAATAAATTTCTATTGCTTATAACTTATCTGGTCTCAGGTATCCTGTTGCAGGTCAGCACAAAGAGACTAATTCTAATGTACTGATTCAGGAAGAATTTTTTTCACATTACCTAAAATATTTTCCTCTCAGTTTAGGAGATTTAGGCACAAACTAACTGGCTTCCGCAAACCACATGGTGGTTAGTAATAGTTTTAAAAGTTTTTACTTCCAGTAAAATGTATAATTCCTCATGATCATAATGTACCAAATGTGCTATAAAATGTTACATCAAGTTCAGATACTATAAGAATGATCACTACTCTGTTGTTGGAGAAAGGAAGGGGCTAGATCCTATAATCTCTTCTCTTTTCACAAAGGCACAGAGAGGTTAAACTAAGTGACTCCCTAAAGGATGGGTAAGAAGTGAGGATGCGTGTCCTTCCAAGTATTATTATTCCGCAGACTCTGAAGGAACCACAAGGCTACACCGTGCTATTGTAAGTTCTTGCCTTCTTTACACTGAAGTTACATGAGAAATGCAAACAGGTAAACAAAAAAGACCTGAGAAAGGCCAACTTTTTGATAACTGTTTAGACAGAGACTGCCTAAACCGAAAACACATGCTGTTTCCCCTCAGCCTGATTGATTTGGCATTCAGAGTACAAGCTCACAGCAGAGGGGCTGGGCCTGTCCAGTCAGGAACTGCAGTCAGAGACTTCCCCTGCTACTTGCTGGGAAAGAACATTAGGAATGCCTTTCAGTGCCTTGCTTCCTGAACGAGCTCACAGTAGCCAGGCGGCCCAGGGCAATCCCACCATATTTCACTCTCAGCGCTGCAGGAATCCGGATGCAGCCCAAGTACAGCAGGACGAGGGACATGCTGGATGATGATGGAGACACCACCATGAGCCTGCATTCTCAAGCCTCTGCCACAGCTCGGCGTCCAGAGCCCCGGCGCACAGGTACCCTGTCTCCCAGAGTCCAGATAGACCAGAGCCCTTGTGAAATGTGTGAGATGAGCTATCCCTCCTAGAAATTTGCACATTTAACTTCTATCTTATAACTTTATTTCCAGTGACTCGTCCTGTGACATAGTAGTGATTTTTTTTTTTTTTTCAATTCTATTCAGTTCCATAATTCACACAGTTAGAGAAGGATTTTATTTCCTGGGCCACTCAGCCAATCTAAAGCTAAAATATGACTTCAGTTCTAGTGAAAAGGACTCACATGGTAATATACACAGGACTAGGTTCTAGGTCCTAACCCAGGTAAGCCACTTTCCTTCTGTGTAACCTTGGATGAGTTATTTAAGTATCCTGGTAGCATCATATTCTTTATTTATAAAATATTAATGGCCACAAACATGTATAAAGGGCTCATTATGTGCTGGCAGTGTTTTAAATACTTTAAGTATATTAATTCATGTTAATTTGAATTAATATTAAATAGAAGTAATAAAACTTCCTTTACAAGGTGGTTGTGAGCACTGAGAATGATAAATTATGTAAAATAGTTGAATGTCTGTCTGAACTGATATAGACTGACACAAAATTGCTAAAAGGAACACTTGAGGAATTCTCAAGAAATGGAATGTTAAAAGGAATCCCACATTTTAGCATTCATTCAGTGCCTGTATTTTAATATGTCCTTTCCCTCTGATTATATCATCGTTTTCTTCACCTTTGTAAATTTGGATATACATTTTAAAAATTTATAAAAAAGATCCTGTTCCTTATTTCTTTATCAAATAACTTTTAGTTTTCCTTCCTTTCTCCTACTAAACCCTCCATTCACTTTCTATGTATTAAATGACTCTCCATCTGAGACCTACTAATATGGCTCTTTTGTTGTTGTTGTTTTTAAACTAAACTACCCAGTAAGCTGTTAAGGGACACAGGGGATTTCCAACCTCTTTGAAATGAAGCTAAGTGACAAAGTAGGGATGTCTGTAGCCACAGGATATGTGTAAGAGGATACAAAGTGTTTTCCTCCAAAAAATCTTAGGAAGAGTCCATTTGTAGGGCTGTGGTTTTGAGGAGCTTGTATATAACTTCATTTTCCACCTCTGACTGGAGCCAGAAGTCTCTCAAGGATTAGTGGTCAGCATAATCAGGAACAGCATGTACAAATAAGTTCTGCTGAGGTTGAAGGGTGGAGAGGGATGTGGAGCAAGATAAAACACTAGCTGCAACATCTGGGAGCTTCTTTGTAAGAAATGGAAGTTGAAACAGTAGGAGTAGAGATTACAAAGAATTGTCTTGGAGGAAATCATCTGGAAATAGTTATCTTACGCAACATATATGAGATCTTGTTTTCATCTTTTTATGGTAATACAAACATTCAGGGGAATGCCATCATAGAAGTATAATTATTTCTTAGATAAACATATCTGATATACCTTCACTGATAAAAATAACAGCAGAAATCACTCAGAAATTTTTGGCAATGTGGAGGATTCAGATTCAACATACTGATGTGACACCATTAAGAGCTGGCAACTTTTATTTTTTAGAATTAATACAAATCACACACACATTCATTTAATTTCTAGACTTTTGTCAATAACAATTGACATAACAACTATGTGTGTGTTTACAAATGACAAACAAGATAGTAAAAATGCCAAACAATTAAGATAGTGAAAATGAAAGACAACCACCTCATACATTTTTCACAAACTTATGTTTGGGGTCATGTTATCCTAGTACTGAGGATATAATGTCCAATGTGATATGGTCCCTGTTCATAAGAAAATTGAAAGTCTAATACAATTATCAACTGAGGAATACGTATAATAAAGTGTTATGGCAGAAGCATGTACAGTACAGCCGAGAGCTTGGTTATGTCTACCTAATTAAGTAGAGGAGTTTAGGAAAGGCTTAACAGGAGGAGCGACTGTGGAGTTGAGTTAATTTTAAGATCTTCCACATAATGTGGAATCAGGAGTGAGGATGTTTGAGAGGCTGGGGAACACTACAGACAGAGAGACATCTGAAGGGAAAGTCATGAAGGTTTTCAGTAGCTTTGTATTTTTAGAGAACTATAAGCATTATGTATGGCATAGGTGTAGAGTTGGAGGAGGGAAACTTGGCAAAGGGGTAAGTCTGGCAAGTTAAGGAAGGATTTTAGGGCATGCTGATCTATTTTAATTCTATTCAATAGTTAAAATGAGGTCAATGCAGTATTTAGATAGGAAGAAACAGAATTTTGCATTTGGGGAAGACCTTCCAGGCTGCAATGGAAAGGATGGGTTGAAAGTATATGAAACTGGATGTGCCGATACCAAATTTTTTCACTAGTCCGGTACAAGAGTAAAAGAACCTGAACTGAGGCAGTATAGTAAAAATGAGGAAAAAGAATCAGATATGAAAGATGTCGGGGCGATGGAGTTTAGATAATCAGTGATTGGTTACATGTGAGGAGACAAGGAAAGGGACCTCGGTGGTAGGTTGACTAAGTTCTGTCTGATGTAATGTGGATGGCACTGCTGTTTAACTGAGACAGAAACTATAGAAGGGATAGGAAAGGTGATGAATTGAGTTTGAGTTTAAGGGGTCTGTAGAAGGAGGGACATGCATTTGGAGCTGTCCAAAGACACCTGCATATGCAGGATGTGGGTTGGGCTACATATATTTGTGGGAATTACTGGCGTAGTAATTAAATAAATAAAGTAGATGAGGTACCTAAGTCATTAAGTAAAATAAATGGATAGTAACTAAAATGTATGGGAGTGAGTGAGAGCACTGAGGGAGGGAATGTAAAATGAAAAGATGAATGAACAGAAGAATAGAGTGTGAAGGAGAAAATCTGAGGGAATATCAGGACCTGAGGAGCAAGAAGAATGAAAGATTCCAAAAGGAGCTACTAGGTATGAACAGCAGAGAGTGGTAGAAGCAGGAATCTGGGAGAGAGACATCAAGGGCATCAAGAGACAATAAATTCAAGAGTAATGGAAAATCAGAGTAATGGAAGAGACAATAAATTCAAGAGTATTGGAAAAGTCAGTGATGATGACTGTGAGTTTTAAAAACAACAAATAACAAATACTGCAGAGAGTTTAAGTAAAAGGAAGACTAAAAATGATTACTTAACAATTTATCAATAAGGAGGAAAATATTTAGTTTTGATAGTAGTGGTTTAAAAAGGAACTGATGTTTACATAATAAACAATTACTTTGGTTAAATAATTTTTAAAAATTTAATAATAAATTCAAGTTCCTCTTTACCCTTGTTCACATTCATTACAGTACTATTGCATTTCCCAGTGTCTTAGTTTTATTTCCTCAATTACAGCATAAATCTCTCATCACAGTCATGACATAAATCACTGTTAACTGATTCAACAACTCTTTAAATCAAACCTACTCATGACAAGACATTATGGGATGTACTAGAGGAGCCTGTTTTTTGAGGTGCTTAGAGAAGTGGAAGGAATGCTCTAAATCAATAGTTGCAGTAAATGTCATTTAGTGCTGTTAAATCAGTGTTGGAGGCCACAGAAGCAATATAGGAATGAATGAGTTACTGATTAAGTTTAGTTTTGCGAGTTCCCGGAGGAAGTGACATGATCTGGACCCATGAGGCTAACAAGTATAATGGGATCCTGTTAGGAGGAGCCTGATACAGCACACTAAGAAACTGACTAGAACAGAATGAGCCTTGGGAAACTTTTCTTCCTATGGAAGAGAGGAAGTGTGATTAAATTTTGCTTTCAAAATTCATCTTGCTAGTAGAGTGGATATTTCATAATGTAGAAGTGAAAAGTTGCAAGCTGCTGTCGTTCTATGATTCCACATGCACTGCCATGTATAAATATTGATCTGAGATGTGCTGGGAGGATAGGAAGATGATTGAAAATGTCCAGCTCTGGAATCCGTCTGCTTGGGTAGCTCTGTTACTTACCAGTTGTGCAAACTTAGGCAACTTCAGTGACTCCTTGGTAATTGAATTTTTGCAAAGGTTGCTTCCAATGAAATAAAGTGTATCTAGAACACACTTATAGTTACTATTAGTAACTATTTCTTTCTCTCTGTTTTTCAATATTCTCCATTCAATCATTCTATATAAAGACATGAAGAAACACAATCCTGGGGAGTTACTAATAGTTCATTAGTAACTATTACTAATAGTAGCTGTGTGTTCCTGAATAAGCTGTCTAAACCCGCTAGGCCTCAGTTCCCTACCTGTAAAATGAGATAATAATATCTACCTTATAGGGGTTGTTTGTGAGGCTAGATGAGAACATTCATATAAGACATTTTTCTCTGTAACTCAAGAAATTTGAGCAATTATCATTAATGGTAATGTTGTTTTTGAATTATATTTCAGTAAATAGTATCTGTTGATGGGGATATAAAATTACATCACCTAAATTTTACTAAAGAGGAAAAATATAATTAAGTTTCTAAATACTGTGAATTGGAACCTCAATGATATTCTAGAAATAGCTCGTATGTTCTTAGATATATACTTTTTTCAAATAATAGGAAGGATAACACACATTTTCATTTAGAGAGTATGAAAATGGCAATATTTGAAATAGATTCATACGAGAAAAGAAACCTGCATTTACATGAACACAGAAAAGCAGACTCAACCCATGAACTCAGATTCCCATGAGGAGGTTTCCTATGCACTACATGTGAGGATTAAGGAAACAGAGACATTTACATTTCAAAATACAAAGGGATCAAAAAGTGCTTTCTGAAATATTGCCACCAGTCTGTACATTGCCACCAGTTTTGCCCCCATGTCTCCGTGACTCCTGACTGGCTTACGGAAAAGTGTGCAAAGTATAGCGTTAAGCATAATGATTTAATCCTAGCTCTGCAACTAGTTTGTAATGTGCACATTATTTAAACTCTCGGTGTCTCCTCCAGCTTTTAAGACCTTTTGCATTCATAGGTATACTAATAGACTGTATATGGTAATGTGAGCTTAGTTTCTTGGGTGGAAAACAAAATTTTCCCTCTCTGATGCCTGATGAAGGGTAACTGGTTCAGTTTGACAACTCTCCACCCACAAAGTTTCATAGAATTACACAGTAATTGGTATCCAAAATTTGACCCTAGCACAAAGGCCTTTTATACTATGGTTATACTAAGAGGATACAGGAAAGTTTTTTTTTTTCTATATATATCTTATTATTCTATCATTTATATCATTTATATCATTCCTTGGCCTATCCACACCCCTTTCTAAATATGCCTCAGGAGAGAGCAAAGGGGTTCTCTTCCAAAAAATAAAACCACAATAAAGCCAAGCCAAACTCAAGCGACCTCCCAGGCATCTTATTTTTGTGAAAATCTTTCTCGTGTTAGGGTGAGGGTGACCCCTGGAGAGAGACTTCAGCATGATTAGGAGCACTTGGAATAAAACTGAGACACATTAGACTCACAGTTAGAAGAAAAACATCTAGAAGGAAAAATAGCATCAAAGAAAAAGAAAAAGTGAAACTTTCAACTTCATGGACTTTCCGTCATGGGAGCTTGGTTTCATGGAAGATGAACTACTCAGGATTGTGTTTCTCCATGTCTTTCTATAGAATGATTGGATGGAGAATATTGAAAAAGAGAGAGAGAAAGTGAGAGAGCAAGAGGGAGATGGGAAGAGAGAAGAAAAATTTCAAAATGGGAAAATTTGATCAGAGAAAGAGGATTTCTTAGAAGAGATTTTTAAAAACCTTTTAAAGCCTATTATACTTCTTTTATTTTTGAGGCAATCTTAGGAAGGATCCTGTATTTTTTTTCTTTTCATGAATATAATCATCATTGAAAGATGTTCTGATTTCTAAAGTCTAGGCCATCACTTCACAGAAGGAATATAAGTTCACTCTTTTTGGTCCTTTGGGCAGAAAATCAACACCTCCCATGTCCTCGATATTATGCAAGGGAAAGCAGATTCATTTCATTTCATTTTGTTTCATTTCATTTCATTTCATTTCATCACTACTTTTGAGAGAAGATCTTGCTCTGTCACCCAGGCTGGAGTAGAGTGGCACGATCACGACTCACTGCAGCCTTGACCTCCGTGGCTCAAGCAATCCTCCCACCTCAGCCTTCTGAGTAGCTGTGACTACAGGTGTGTGCCAACATGGCTGATGAATTTTAAAACTTTTATAGAGATGGGGATGGGGTCTCACTATGTTGCTATCTTTTGTAGAGATGGGATCTCACTATGTTGCTCAGGCTGGTCTCAAACTCCTGGCCCAAAGCAATCCTCCTGCTTCAGTTGGGAGGATTCCGAAGTGATGAGATTATAGGCCTCAGCCATCGTGCCTGGCGGAAAACAGATTTATAAAGAGATAAATAAGTTGGTTGACTGTCATAGTTCTTCTTCTCCTTTACCTCTTATTTTTAATTTCAGCCAAATATTAATTATAACAACAGGATTTAAAAAATTATTATGACTTTGAGATGTGTATTAATGTAACTATGTTTGAGTAGGGGTAGGTAGGCATATAACACAGATATTTGTATATAATGGACCTATTCATCCATTTATTTAAATTTAATTGAGCTTATTTCAACTACTGCCCTAGGAACTGGGTTACAATAATGGCTAAATAGATATTTTCCAAGAAAGAGCTTAATTTTTCCTGGAGTAAGACAGATATAAGCTAAATGAAATAACAAAGATATACAATATATTTAATGGTAATAAGAGGTATGTGGAAAAATAAAATCATCATGGTGATGGGCTCACATAAGCACTTTTAACTGTGGAATCTAGAAATATCCATATGATTAACTTTCTTGGACTGTATGGAAGTTTACAAATACAGGGTTTTGGAGAGGATGATTCACCCAAACTATATTCTGCCTCTAATCTTTTTTTTTTTTTTTTCTGTTCTGCTGATCTGAAATACTTTTACAGTCGATACCATGAGAAAACCATCCTTTTGCAAAAAAAACAAGACTAAATCACATAGCTCAGTTAACTGAAGGAAACAGGAGGAAGCAAATCTCCCTTAGATTTGTTCATGATATAATCTCACAAAAATCGGTGTATAGAAACCACCATGGCTGGGAGATGTATTTAGCTGAGTCTGTTTTCTGCTGACATAGATGTTGCTGAGAAGTCAATGTACTACAGAAAAACAAACAAACAAACAAACGAAAACCCTGTAAGCTTAACTTTGGAGAACCCACTTATCTCTTTAAAACTTAGTTTAAGTCATATTAATTTTTTTATAATTTCATTTTTCAATTATTTAAACTGTCAAAGATTTACTCAGCCCTTATGTCCCTGGCACTACTTTCAGTAGTGGAAATACACTGGTGGACAAGATAGACAAGATCATTGTTTTAATGGAATGCTAAATGGAGAGAAAGGAGACAGGCAAAAAGAAACAAAAGTCAGGAAAATATTACCTAGTACAGGGTGAGTGATATGCTAGAGATGGACTCATGGACCTCTTCCAAGGATGTGCCATTGAAACTGAAATTAATACAGAGGCAGAAGTAGGGCTGATACAAGGTACTTAGGGTCAAGCTTGATCAGATCAAGGATTAAACGGAAGGCCATTGTGAGTAGTACACGTGAGTGAGAGGAAAATAGTTCAGAAAGGGATGAAAGAGCTAAGGAAGGTCTCAATAAGACTAATGTAGGATTTAATTTTAAGTGCAATAAAGCTTTTGAAGTTTTTAAGTAGGGAAGTAGCATAATAAAATTGCCATTTTTTTTTTAAAGGAGCAATCTGTGAAAAGTGATTTGGATTTTATTCTAAATGTAATGAAAGCTATGAAGGAGATGATTGCTAAGAAATAAGATTCACATTTAAAAATATATCAGTATGTCTACTCTGAGACTTTAACTTATTTTCCCTACTAGATTGTAAGTTCCAGAGGATAGTAATCATATTGTCTATTTCTATATTCTTTACTAGTTATCATTCCCCATTTGGAAATAATGTTTCATATAAATCTCTGTACCTAGAATTGGCCGGGCGTGGTGGCTCATGCCTGTAATCCCAGCATTTTGGGAGGTGTCGTAAGAGGATCACTTGTGCTCAGGAGTTAGAGAACAGCCTGCAGCCTTGGCAACATGGTGAAACCTCATCTCCAACAAAAATATAGGAAAAAAAAATTAGCCAGGCGTGGTGGCACGTGCCTGTAGTTCCAGCTGCTCAGGAGCTGAGGTGGGCGGATTGCTTGAGCCTGGGAGGTGGAGGTTGCAGTGAGCCGAGATCACGCCACTGCACTCCAGCCTGGAGAATCTCTGTACCTAGAATGTTTTATGTATAGGATCTTGCTAGAAGGAAAAGAATTTTCTTTCAAAAAGCCCCTCCGAACTCTTTAATCTTTCTGTTTCAGAACGTGACTTGAATTCTCAGTGAAGTAGAACTAACAGGCTACAAAGAGATGAGAGTTTATTTGAGGATTTCACTCTCTCTTTGTTTCATTTTTATCACAATGCTAGATGCTAGCTGCACCTGAGTGAAAATCTTCCCTGTCAGATACATTAGGTCATTCAGACTCAGATAGGTGACCTCACTAGGTGAAGGGTCTACCCATGACTTACAGTAAAACCTCTGCAATGACTAGTCAAACTTATGAGAATGGAGGGCAAGGAAAGCATGTTTGCCACAGTTTTAAAAATTATTTAACTGTTACAAAAATAGTTTAGATTCGTCTTTCAGAAATTGATGATCCTGTTTCTTTATAATCTATTTTTGAAAAAAATATAAATCAAATGAATGAACAAACAATATCCTTACAAAAGAGGGACTTTCAGTGAAACAATTCCACAGAAAAACAGTAAAATTATTACTTCCCATTACTAACATGCAATTTGCCTTTTAGAAAAAGCATATACGGAACTTGGGGGGAAGGGGATGTTTTTCAAAAGTAACAGCAAATTAATTTCATCTTTCCCCTGATTATGTAAAAAGTTGTCCCTTGGTAAGGTTCAGAGATTCTCAGGCTGTGTTTCAGACATTTTCATGACAGTCTTTCATAATTAGAATTTTGACAAGCAGAAGGTTGTACAAACAACCACATAAAGATAATGCATAGTGTGATTCAGTGCAAAGTAAGACTTGAGAGGTGGATACAAATGGGTGGGGCTTGTGAGAAAATCTAGCTGTGATAAGTGAGGCTTGCACTGAGCCTTATGATGATGTTTCTGAGGACAGAAATCAAGTTATCCAGCCCCCGTTACTGTTGTCCAGCATAATTTGTTCCCGTGCAGAATCAACTCCTCTCCCTTACCTGTTATTGACTTAGATGCAAGAGGAAGAAAAAGCCAAACCCTGCTTTCTCTTCTGTTCCCTGCAGAGCACAGGGCTCCCTCTTCAACGTGGCGACCAGTGGCCCTGACCCTGCTGACTTTGTGCTTGGTGCTGCTGATAGGGCTGGCAGTCCTGGGGCTTTTGTGTAAGTCTGCGCTCTGACCTGGGGGAGGATCCTGGTTCCAAGGTTTGTCTAGGATGAGAAACACTTGTTATGGATTTCTTTTTTACGCTTTAATTCTTTAGCCTTTAGAAAACTCAGTGTATCTTTTTTTAAATGCAGCTATTTAAATGGTGAATAATGGAAGAAGTATTAAAATATGACAATCAGTTGCCAACTAGAATTAAACATTCTGTTTGAGATAAGAAGGGTTTTGTCTGGTTGTTTATATGTCACTGTCTAAAAATATCATTTATTTTAACCCTCTCCCATTCCACAAAAGACTAGGATATCAGAGGTTTTGACTCTGAGAATACAAGGTTCAGTGAGCCAGTGTAGAATATACTACCCACAGAGCCACGCGTACCGTCAGTACAAGGAGAGTAGGTAAACTCCTTAATCATCATATATTTTAAAGGCCAGGAAGTTATACAGTCATTTTATAAAAACTTGTGAAAATCAAATCGGAAAAATGCATATCTAAAAATATTTAAATTTCAAACTAGTAAAAACAAGTTAAAAACCTTAAAAAAGAAAGTGGATGAATTTGCATCAGTAGGTGAAGTCCCCACAGCAATGTTTCCTAAACAGCTGAAGAAGGTTATTCAAAGAAAAATGTTATATAGAAGAGCAGATTTTAATGTCAAAAACTGGATTTTACAGGAATTTTAAGACTTTTGTTTGTATCTTATATTTCAAAATTACAAATAATTTCTTATTGCTCCCTTTGATCCCAAAAGTTTTATTTCATTGTGATATAACTATTATTTTGCAACCACCATTATTCTTGGAAATACAGAGGAACTCTCATGATTCGTGAGAGATTTCTATACTTAGATGTAGAGACCTGAATTTCAAATCTGAATGTTGAAAATTTCTAGTGAAATGACATTAGGAATTTACTTGTTCTCAATGATCCTAATTGCAAACTATAAAATCATGGAAAAAATAATAACACTATTTCAATAACTGAATAAGTAACAATATATGGTATATTGTCAATACTCAATATAATAACCAACATATAAACAGATTGGTGGTTTTATGTTGAGTAACATTTGAGAGTATACATAAAAAGATTTATCAGGCAATAAATATAGGTTGAGAATTTATTCTTGAAGTTGGGAACTAATATTATAACTCCACATTTCTATTTATGTATTTATAAATAGATATAGATAAATTATTTAAATTATACATTTTTTTAGGCCAGGAATGGTGGCTCATACCTATAATTCCAGCACTTTGGGAGGCTAAGGCAGGCGAATCGCTTGAGGTCAGAGATGGAGACCAGCCTGGCCAACATGGTGAAACCTCATCTCTACTGAAAATATAAAAATTAGCGTGGTGGTGGGCACCTATAATCCCAACTACTCAGGAGGCCGAGGAACGAGAATCACTTGAACCCAGGAGGCGGAGATTGCAGTGAGCCAAGATCACACCACTGCACTGCACTCCAGCCTGGGTGACAGAGTGAGACTCCATCTAAAAATATCTATCTATCTATCTATGTATATATAATATACATATATAGACTCCATCTAAAAATATATATATATATATTTTTATATAAATATATATAATACATATTTTAAAATGTTATATTTGTGTGTGTATATATATATAACATTGAGGTATGTCCTTTATATGCCAATTTTGCTGAATGTTTTAATCATAAAGGAATGCTGGATTTTTTCAAATGCTTTTTCTGCATCTATTGAGATGATCATATGATTTTTGTTTTTAATTCTGTTTATGTAATGTGTCATATTTATTGACTTGTGTATGTTAAACCATCCCTGCATCTCTGGGATAAAACCCACTTTATCATGGGGTATTATCTTTTTGATGTGCTGTTGGATTCAGCTAGCTAGTCTTTTTTTTTTTTTTTTTTTTTTGAGATGGAGTCTTACACTGTTGCCCAGGCTGGAGTGCAGTGGCACAATCTCGGCTCAGTGCAACCTTCGCCTCCTGGGTTCAAGTGATTTTCCTGCCTCAGCCCCCCGAGTAGCTGGGATTACAGGCACCCACCACCACGCCTGGCTAATTTTGTGCTTTTAGTAGAGACAGGGTTTCTCCATGTTGGTTAGGCTGGTCTCGAACTCCCGACCTCAGGTGATCCACCTATCTCAGTCTCCCAAAGTCCTGGGATTACAGGCATGAGCCACCGTACCAGGCCCTCAATTAGCTAGTCTTTTGTTGACGATTTTTGCATTAGTGTTCATCAGGGATATTGGTCTCTAGTTTCTTTTTTGTTCTGTGCTTTCCTGATTTTGGTATTAGTGTGATACTGGCTTCATAGAATGATTTAGGGAAGATTCTCTTTCTCTATTTTTGGGAATAGTTTCAGTAATATTTGTACCAATTCTTCTTTGAATGTCTGATGGAATTCAGCTGTGAATCCATTTGTGAATAGACTTTTATTTGTTGGCAGTGTTTTTCTTACTGTTTCAATTTCACTACTTCTTACTGTTCTGTTCATAGTTTCTATTTATTCCTGGTTTAATCTGGGAGGGTTGTATATTTCCAGGAATTTGTCTATCCCCTCTGGACTTTGTTTATAGTAGCTTTGAGTGATTTTTTGTATTTGTGTGGCATCAGTTGGAATATCTCTCATTTCATTTGTAATTGAGGTTATTTGGATCTTCTCTCCTTTTCTTGATTAACCTTGCTAATGCTCTATGGGTTTTTTTTTTTTTTTTTTGAGGCGGAGTCTCGCTCTGTCGCCCAGGCTGGAGTGCTGAAGTGCATTGGGCGATCTCGGCTCACTGCAAGCTCCGCCTCCCGGGTTTACGCCATTCTCCTGCCTCAGCCTCCCGAGTAGCTGGGACTACAGGCGCCCGCCACCTCGCCCGGCTAGTTTTTTGTATTTTTTAGTACAGACGGGGTTTCACTGTGTTAGCCAGGATGGTCTTGATCTCCTGACCTCGTGATCCGCCCGTCTCGGCCTCCCAAAGTGCTGGGATTACAGGCTTGAGCCACCGCGCCCGGCCTGCTCTATGGATTTTATTTATCTTTTCAAAGAACCAATTTTTTGTTTCATTTATCTTTTGTATGTCTTTTTTTTTTTTTTTTTTCATTTCAATATCATTTAGTTCTGCTCTGATCTTTGATACTTCTTTTCTTCTACTGGATTTGGGTTTGGTTTGTTCATGTTTCTCTGATTTCTTGAGGTGTGACCTTAGATGGTCTATTTTGAGTTTTTCAGACATTTTGATGTAGTCATTTAATGCTATGAACTTTCCTCTTAGCACCGCTTTTGCTGTATGCTAGAGGTTTTCATAAGTTGTGTCACCAATATTATCGTTCTGTTCAAAGTATTTTTTCATTTCTCTCTTGATTTTGTTGTTTACCCAAAGATCATTCAAGATCAGATTATTTTATTTCCATGTATGTGTGTAGTTTTCAGGGTGCCTTGTATTGTTCATTTTCAATTTTGTTCCACTATGCTTTGAGAGAATACTTGATATAATTTCAGTTTTCTTAAATTTATGGAGACTTGTTTTGTGGCCTATCATATGGCCTTTGTTGGAGAATGTCGCATGTGCTGATGAAAAGAACGCATACTCTGCAGTTGTTGGATGGAATGTTTTGTAAATATCTGTTTAGTCCATTTGTCTTAGGATGTAGTTTAAGTCCATTGTTTCTTTCTTTGTTCTTCATTGTTGACTTTCTGTCTTCAAGACCTGTCTAGTGCTGTCAGTGGAGTATTGGAGTCCCCCACTATTATTGTGTTGCTGTCTATCTCATTTTTTAGGTCTAGCAGTAATTGTTTTATAAATTTGGGAGCTCCAATGTTAGGTGCATAGATATTTAGGGTTGTGATACTTTCCTGTTGGATTATTCCTTTTATCACTCTATAATGTCTATAATGTCTCTCTTTGTTTTATTTTATTTTATTTTATTTTTTCCTGTTGTTGCTTTAATGTCTGTTTTGTCTGATAAAAGAATAGTTACTCTGGCTCATTTTTGTTTTCCATTTGCATGGAATATCTTTTTCCACTTCTTTACCTTAAGTTTGTGTGAGTCCTTATGTGTTAGGTGAGTCTTTTGAAGACAGCGGATACTTGATTGGTGAAATCTTATCCATTCTGTCATTCTTTATCTTTTAAGTGGAGCATTTAGGTGATTTACATTGGGTGTTAGTACTGAGATGTGCAGTACTGTTCTATTCATTAGCTAGTTCTTGCCTGATTATCTTGTTTTATTGTGTGTGTATGTGTGTGTGTGTGTGTGTTATTGTCTTATAGGTCCTGTGAGATTTATGTTTTCAGGAGATTCTATTTTGGTGTATTTTGAGGTTCTGAGATTCTGTTTCAAGACTTAGCACTCCTTTTAGCATTTCTTGTAGTGCTGTCTTGGTAGTTACAAATTCTCACAGCATTTGTTTCTCTGAAAAAAACATTATCTCTCTTTCATTTATGAATCTTAGTTTCACTGGATACAAAATTCTTGGCTGACGATATTTTGTTTGAGGAGGGTCAAAATAGGACCCCAATCCTTTCTGCCTTTTAGGGTTTCTGATGATGTAAGCTATTAATCTGATAAGTTTTCATTATAGATTACCTGATGTTTTTGTCTTACAACTTTTAAGATTCTTTCCTTCATCTTGACTTTAGATAACATAATGAATATTTACCTAGGTGATAATCTTTTTGCAATGAATTTCCCAGGTGTTTTTTTAGCTTCTAGTATTTGAGAGATTGTTTGGAGGTTCTAGCAGGAGAGTGCAACTACTTGTATACCCTTGACCAGACTGGTCCTCCTCTATCGGGTATAGTCATCCTCTTCAACCATGTGCATTCAGGAGGGATGCACCTGGAGCAGTGAGGGAGGAAGGGGACACATGCCTAGCCAGCCAGATCAGCCAAATGAACACTGGCAATCAATGGGGTGACAGATATCGCAGCCAGAGAACCCTTACATCCTGAGCTTCTAGTGTTTGAATCTCTAGATCTCTAGGAAGACCAAGGGTTTTTTCCTGGTTTATCCCCTCAAATAAGTTTTTCAAACTTCTAGATTTCTCTTCTTCCTCAGAAACAATTATTCTCAGGTTTGGCCATTTACTATGGCTCCAACTTACTTGGAGACTTTGTTCATTTTTTTTTTTTCTATTATCTTTGTCTTTGTCAGATTGGGGTAATTCAAAAGCCTTGTCTTCAAGCTCTGAAGTTCTCTCTTCTTGTTCTAGTCTATTGTTGAAACTTTCTAGTGCATTTTGTATTTCTCTAAGTGTGTCTTTCATTTCCAGAAGTTGTGATAGTCTTTTCTTTATGATATTTATTTCTCTGGATAATTTTTAAAATCCATATCCTATATTGTTTTTTAAAATTTGTTTAGGCCAAATATGGTGGCTCATGCCTGTAACTCCGGCACTTTGGGAGGCTGAGGAGGGCAGATCACCTGAGGTCAGGAGTTCAAGACCAGCTTGGCCAACATGGTGAAACCTCATTTCTACAAAACTATAAAAACTAGAGAGGCATGGTGGTGGGCACCTTTAATCCCAGCCACTTGAGAGGCTGAGGCAGGAGAATCAAGTGAACCTGGGAGGCGGAGGTTGCAGTGAGCCAAGATCACACTACTGCATTCCAGCCTGGGCAGCAGAGTGAGATTCTGTCTCAAAAAGAAAGAAAGAAAACCATAAATAAGTTTCTTTAAGTTGGTTTTCATTTTTCTGTGGTATCTCCTTGAGTAACTTAATAATCAGCCTTCTGAATTCTTTATCTGGCAATGTGAAGATTTCTTCTTGGTTTGGATCCATTGCTGGGGAGCTAGTGTTATCTTTTGGTGGTGTTATAGAGTCCTGTTTTGTCATATTACCAGAATTACTTTTCTGTTTCCTTCTCATTTGGGTATATTGGGTATTTCAGTGAAAAGATCTGGAACACACAGGCTGCTGTTCGGATTCTTTCATCCCATGGGGTGATCCCTTGATGTTGTACTCTCCCCCTTCCCCTAGGAATAGGACTTCCCTAGAGCCAGACTGCAGTTATTGTTATTCTCTTCTGGGTCTAGCCACTGTGGGTGCTACCAGGCTCCAGGCTGGTGCTGGGGAATGTCTGCAGAGTCCTGTGATATGATCCATCTTCAGGTCTCCCATCTGTGGGGCACCTGCTATGGTGAAGTTGGCAAGGAAGTGAAGTAGACTCTGTGAGAGTCCTTGGTTGTAGATCTGTTTAGTGTGCTGGTTTTCTTGAATGCTGGTTATGCTAGCAGTGAAGCTGTCAGATGGACACACTCAGGACCTCTGGTTAGCCAGGATGTTGCAGGCAGTGGAATTAGCTGTTGTCTTCTCCCTCCTTGGAGCAGGGTTATTCTGTCTTGAGTTACTCTAATGGTTTGAGTTGGTTGGCCTCCAGCCAAGAGGTGGTGCTTTAAAGAGAGCACCAGCTGCAGTAGTAGACAGGGGATGTAAGCTTGTTCTAAGTTTGCCAGGATAAGTATTCAGGTTTCTCAGGTGATGGGCAGGGCCATACAGCTCCTAAGAGTTTATGTCTTTTGTATTTGGGTACCAGGGTGGGTAGGAAAAAACATCACATGCGGTCAGGGTTAGGCAGGTCTGAGCTCACACTCTCCTTGGGCAGGGCTTGCCATGAATGCTGTGGTTCATGAGGGTTGCTTCTCAGAGTATTACGGCTGCCTCTGCTGTGTCATACAAGTCGCCAGGGAAGTGGGAGAAAGCTGGCAGTGATAGGCCTTACCCAGTTCCCACATAGCTGGTGAGGCAAGTCTTGTTCCTCCCATGCCCCACCAATAACACGGAGTTTATATCCTGGCAGCTCATACCTGGGGCTCTGATCTTGCCCCAGGCTACAACCCTTCCCACCGAGAAAGCAAGCAGGCTTTCAGGCCACGCCCCTCCCCACCTTCTCACACCATCTGTCACAGTTCCTGTGCTGATATCTGTAGCAGTTCCTCTTTGCCCCCTGGATTCTGCTTAAGAAAATTCGTATCCAGTTGAAATTATTACAAAATTCATTTGGAAGCTTCTTTCATCCTGTGACTCCTCTTTAATTCCACTGGCTGCCTTGTCCAAGGACCCCTGTGAGACAAAGTCAGGGATGGCTTCCCTGGGCTTGAGCTGGAGAATGGGAGTGCCTACAGGACTCTTCCTTCTGCTTTTTCTACTTTTATATTTTGCATATATTTTATATTTGGCTCCCTACATCTATTTCTGCTCCAGGTAAGGTTAAATCCTTCTCATGTAACCCAGATTTTCAGGTTCCCCAGTAGGGATGTGCGTTCAGAGGCGGGTTTTCCCCCCTTCACACATTTGTGGCTGTCTTACAGAATTTTCAGTATTGAGTTGCTTCCTTCAAAGGATCTGTGAATTCTTTCAGTTTTCCTGGTATGTTCCTAAGGTGGTTCCTGGAGGAAAAGTTCACAGTGTGAGTCTCCTCACGCAGTTCTGTTGTCCAAGTGGGAGCTCCACCTTAGCCCTCTTAGCTGCCATTTTCTCCCCACGACTTCACATTTTTAGACAGACTTAAAGAAATTAATTTGCCCAAGGTGATACAACTTTTCATATATGTACTAGAGTCCAAACTTGAATATACGCAATATGAGATCTCAGAGCCTGAGATACTAAAGAATATACTGTTTGTTTTCCCCATAGGCAGAAAATGGAAATAAAACATAGAAATAAGCTGTCCAGTCTGACTTGGTCATTTGGGTTAGTTTTTCAGTACTACCAGCTCTCCAATACTGGTCAAGGCACCATTTCTCAAATGGAAGAAAGATTAGGAAATACATCCCGAGAGTTGCAATCTCTTCAAGCCCAGAACATAAAGCTTGCAGGAAGTCTGCAGCATGTGGCTGAAAAACTCTGTCGTGAGCTCTATAACAGAGCTGGAGGTAAGTGTGTCCTGGTCACTCTGTCCCCATGTTATCTGGCAACAGAGAGATGGATTTCCCGCCGGTGAAAGTGAGAGTCAAGTATGATTTAACTAGAGGTCTGGCAAACTATAAAAGGGTCTGGGCTTCCAGATCATGATCAGTTGTTGGGATCCTGTGATTCACATGTGTCTGTGATACCATACATCAAGGGACTCTTCAAATGCAGACGTTTTAAAACAATACAAACAATTAACTAAGAATAACCAAAATAAGACTACAAGTAAAGAAAATACAGGGTTATGTCTCCATTTACCTCAGCAAATGTTCTTACAAATTCTTTCCTAGTAAGAAGTAAGCAAACTCATAACTGTAGTTCTCAAATCTTAAAAATCATACAGGGACTAGTCCAAAAATGCAGATAACCTGAATCAAACTCAAGTTATTTTAATTCAGGATAACTTGACTGGGTATCAGAAATATGTAGCTTATTAAGGACCACAGATGATGACAGTGCCAGTGGTAGGTGAACCACCATTGATAAATTTACTGCTGGAGAAGGCTAGGAGCATCGCTTCAGTGTGAGTGTGTGTGTATTCCTATTCTATTCTTTTCAAGTTTTGTGATAATCCACTTTATTCAAGTCAGCTGTCTCTTCTGCTCTCTTTGTCATACTTACTTAGGAAATGGCATACATGTTCAGGTTTCCACTTTATTTCTTTTTTAGGAACTCTGAAGGAGGGCAAAGTCTCCTCATCTACTATACACACATCACTTCCCACCTGAAACAGACATCCTGATTGCATGGCTACCTAGGAAAAAATATTAATAGGCACAGTTTTACTTCTCTAAGTGATTCTTTCCTACATGACTAATGACCTCAATGGTCATAATGTCCTTATTTACTAATTTTTCTTTTTCCATTTTTTTTTGGGTGGGGGGAGATGGAGTCTCACTCTGTTGCCTAGGCTGGAAGGCAATGACACAATCTCAGCTTGCTACAACTTCCTCCTCCCAGGTTTAAGCAATTCTCCTGCCTCAGCCTCCTAAGTAGCTGGGACTACAGGTGTGCACCACCACACCCAGCTAATTTTTTTTTATTTTTTATTTTTAGTAGAGATGGGTTTTCACTGTGTTGGGCAGGCTGGTCTTGAACTCCCAACCTCAGGTGTTCCCCCTGCCCCGGCCTCCCAAAGTGCTGGGATTATAAGTGTGAACTACCCCGCCTGGTGCTTATTTATGAATTTTCCAACAAAGCCCAGTGTGCATACTTTCCTTTGTTGTTTGCCATATCTTCAAAAAGATAATCCCCTACTTGACAGGCTGAGGCTGGAAGATTGAGCTGAGGAGATCAAGACCAACCCAGGCAACATAGTAAGACACTATCTCAGAAATTATTTTTATTTTTATTTACTTATTTATTATTTATTTTTAAAGTCAGAGTCTCACTCTGTCACCTAGGCTGGAGTGCAGTGGTGTGATCTCGGCTCACTGCAGCCTCCATCTCCTGGGTTCAAGCGATTCTCATATCTCCTCCTGGGCAGCTGGGATTACAGGTGTGCACCACTACATCTGGCTAATTTTTGTACTTTTTTGGTAGAGACAGGATTTCTCCATGTTGCCCAGGCTGGTCTTGAACTCTGACCTCAAGTGATCTGCCCACCTCAGCCTCCCAAAGTGCTGGGATTATAGGCATGAGCCACTGCACCTGGCCAAAAAAAATTTTTTTTTAAGGTAACCGAGATTTTCCTAACACAAATGGTCTTTCAAATTGTTATTTAGGTATATAAAAACAAATAAAAAGAGAAGCTATGCAAATAAGTCATTTAATTTAAATATAAAATCTAAATGCAAATGTATTAAAGTTTCTTCTTATATAAAATTCTTACATACTTTTGGTTAGATGTCAGTTCTCAGTTTTAATCTGCTACTTTTTATTTCTTGCCCTCATCTTACCCATTATCCATCCATCCATCCACTTACCGAAGTGATATTTATCCATTTAGTTAGCACTACTACCAGTATGGTTGGAGTATTTACTGAATGCCTACTGATGCATATCTGACAAAACACACAGGATGTCTACTGTCATGGACCACTTACTCTAGTGGGGTGGTAGAAGTAAGTATATTGGAAAACATAAAATAAGATGACTCATGTCTTTATCTGTTTGTGTTGCTATAAAGGAGTACCCGAGCCTGGGTAATTTATACAGAAAAGAGTTTTATTTGGTTAATGATTCTGCAGGCTGTACAAGAAGCATGGTGCCAGCATCCGCTTCTTCTGAGAGCCTCAGGCAGCTTTCACACATGGGGGAAAGTGCAGCAGGTAACAGGACAAGAGTCCAGGAGGCAAGAGACTGGGGAGGGATGTGCCAGGCTCTTTTTAACAATCAGTTCTCCTGAGACTAATGGAGCGAGAACTCACCAAGCTGTTCATAAGGGATCTGCTCCCTTGTCTGAGACACCTCCCATCAGGACCCACCTCCAACACTGGGGATCAAATTCCAATATGAGATTTGGACGGGACAAATGTTCAAACTGTATCAACCAGCATTTCCAAGTTTTCCCCCAACGTTCCCTATTTTAGTACTAAAAGTCCCAGATTCTGGGACACTCTAGGTCCCAGGTATACAATAATGATTAGCCAGCCTAAATATAATGTATGAGAGATTAATCAATCCTATGAGAAATGAAGGTAAACAAGGCAAGAGGGATAAGGAATTCAAGGATAGTCTGTTGCTACTTTAAATAGAACAGTCATAAATCCTTAATTAAGATGATACTATGGTAGCAAAGACTTGAAAAGTTGAGGGAGTTAGCCATGCAATACAGATAAATAACAAGCTTTATAGGTAAAACAGGAAACACAAGAGCCTTAAAACATGAATGTATCTGCATATTCAAGGACTAATAAGGAGCCCACGTGGTTGGAGTGGGAGACTAACAGGAGGCTAGGTAGAGATCATAGATAGCATTAGGTGCCTTTGCGAGAGATTTGGCTGCTATTTTGAGCAGATGAGGATTGATTATGGGGTCTTGAGCAGAGGAAATACATGATCTGGCATAAGTTTTTAAAGGCTTAATCTACAATTATGTTAAAATTAGACTGGAAGAGGAAAGAATAGCAACAGAGAAATCAGATAAGAGATGGCTGTTACTAAAATCCAGGAGAAACATGATGGTTCTTCTAACTAGGATATTGTTTGTGGAAATGATTTTGCATGATGGGACACAAATGGATGTGTGACAAATGAAAGATTCAAAAACAGCTCCAGAATTTGGGGGCAAAACAGCTAGAAGCATAGAGATGTGATCGAGTGAAAGGAGGAAGAATTCTCTGGCTACAAGGGGAAAACTGGAAACCAGGAATGCTGTTTGGGGAGCTAGATATATGAGGAAAAAATTCTGGGCCAGACATGTAAACAGACTTACATTCCTTTTGTCCAAAACACAGCAAAAATGAAGGGGAAATGGAGAGAGAAAGGACTGTAAGAAAAAAAAGACGATTAGCCTTTTTTTTAGGGTGACATATTTTCATGTATTTATGAAATGGAATGCCCTTCCTGGGGTTTTTGGCCTTGCTAATATGACCATTATTGTTTATTGATCCTAAATATCTGTAAACATTTGTTGCACTATATCATATACAAAAATAGTAATTTATAGGTAAAGAGAGTTCATAGAAAGTGTACATGTTCCGTTTAGAAATTAGTTGATATTTTATTTTTCTTAGGTGTATATGCCATGGACAAAACATTTGAGAACAGGTCATTTTCAGTCCACCCATTTTTCTGGCCAAAAATATGCATTTTCTCCTTTAAAAATATATATTTTTGAGGGGGAGCAGAGAAGTGGGGAAAACAAGGTCTCACGCTGTTGTCCAGGCTGGAGTGGAGGGTGTATGTATATGTATATCTATTTATATCTAGGTCTATACCTATATCTATATGTATACATAGAGAAATGAATTTCTTCTGACCTGTATTCCATTTTCCTCCTCCAATGGTTTAAGTAATAGTATATTAAATATTTAGTTAGTTGAAGTTAAGGAGGTGAAGCGGTTTCTCTATTTCTATCTCTTTAGTTACATCGTATCACTACCTATTTCACATAAGGCTCTCAGTCCTTTAGTCTCTCACCTTTTGATTTAATTGTCCCTTGCTTCCTGTTAAACATTCATTGAAAATTTCTCTATTAATTCCCATGCAAGTATGGGACTTGTTTTTACATAGAGCACATAGAGGGTCACTTGTATCTGAAGATCCAAGGTATTTAAGAAAACATTGTACGTGAGATGGGAACGAGGTATTAACGCACTGTACTAAAATTGCAGTTACATAGTTTTTATTTACTGAATCCAGAGCAGAATGAACCAGGATTCTCCTTGCTGAGTCCAGTTGCTGCTTCATAATCTTTTTCAGCACAGCACTCCAAGCACGTATTACCCATCTAAGTTCTCATAACACCAGGGACCACAGTTGAAACTGACCTTTATTAAATGCTTTTTATGCGTAAGTCTCTGCACAAACTGGACTCTGGTTTTTACGTATTTAATCTTTACAATAATCCTTTTAGGTAAGCGTCATTCCCATTCTTGTTCTGTGTTTTAGGAAGTCTGAGGCTCCCTGCATTTTTGCTTGAGTCTCTCCAGGTTGTTACATTTCTCCTGGTAGAATTCCGAAGCAAGCAGACCTGTCCGAGAGAGTGCAAAAACTATTGACTTCCACAGCAAGTTTTTCATAACATGACAAAGATATCCTTCTAAGTTATTTATTTATTTAAATTTTGTTTTACTTCATGAAATATTTCAAATTTACAAGAAGATTAAATGATAATATAATACCTACCTGTGTATTAGCTACTGAGATTTTAACATGTTAACTAGGTCGCTTTTAAAATAAAGAAATTGTTATGGCTATGACTTGAGTTCTCATCCCACTACAAACCCTCAAGAGACTGGATTAGGTTCCTAACTAAATGACCCAAGGTCATGTATCCACATAGGATTAAAACTATAGCGCTTAGGGCTTGGATCCTATATTTGCGATCCCTACCCATACTTCTCTGGCCTGGATGCCCAATTTAATTTGTGACACATGGAGAGTCAGCATTCTAACTTCACGCTTGCCTCAGTGTTTTTTTTCCTTAAAAAGACTCCACATCATATCGGTATATACTGTCTTTTTTAAAACTTATTTTACTGTTATGTAAGATAATTTTGAGAACATTATAGAAACTTTATTTCCTAAACACAATGCGGTTGGAGTTTCTGTACATTTCAACTGCTTTGTGAAATTGAATATTCTCTTCACGTGCTGAATTTCATAGGCAAGTGGCAAGAAAGTTCCAATCATTTATTACTAGATTCCACCTAAGCAATTAGTGTCTGTTTTAATTTCTACAACATACTTAGGACCAGTTATAATTCCTGGCATTTAGTAGGTATCCAGTAAACATTGTAGTTATCATTGCCTGGGCAATTAATTAAATATTGAAGAGGAGTTAATTCTTTCTTAGAACATCAAATATTATGTAATTTCAAGAGAGGAGCAAGACAGACTCATACAGAAAATAACAATAAAATTGGCTTTTTTCCAAGCGCACAGGTGCAGCCCTTGTACTGACCAGTGGAAGTGGCATGGAGACAAATGCTACCAGTTCTATAAAGACGGCAAAAGTTGGGAGGACTGTAAATATTTCTGCCTCAGTGAGAACTGTACCATGCTGAAGATAAACAAACAAGAAGATCTGGTAAGATTCTGAGGCTTTTCTCAAAAAGAGGCCTTAAAAGAGTTAAGCCAGAAGATTCTAAGGATCAAGAATATCAGTCCACAGTTTTTCACACTCGTTTCAATCAGGGTCTGAGTCTTATTCCTATTGCTTTGAATGGTCCCATGAAGTAGCTAGAAGGAATTGTGTTCTCCAGAAATACACACCCCTTAGAAAGATAAGCAATATCACTTTAAATTCCCCTCTCAGGGAGCAAAGGTAGAATGTCCTAACTTCTTTTCTTTTTTGGTTTGGGTAGAAAAGGAAGAATATTGATGCAATGTCAGAAACATGAAGAGAGTACTGCCTGCTCTTCCATTTAAAAAGTGGCAAAGCTTTTAAGTGGAAAATATTTAACTAAATTATTACCATAACCTGCAAATACATATCTTGCTTTCCAGAAGTTTACAGTCTAGGATAGACTGGTCAAGGCAAATGTGACAATAAAACTACAAATTGACATATATTGAGTTAGTACATGCAATTAAAATACACAGTTAAAATATGATTATTCCACTTTCTCTCATATTTATTATTGCCTTTGAATTGAAGTTCTCAAATAGTATGGCCATTGCTTATTTATCATTGTTTCTCTAGAATTTGGCAGAGATTTTTCTTGATGAAGAGTAGGTTATCAACAAAGGGTTATTTAATTGAATTAAATTCTCAGCTCACTATACAAATTCTTAACATCATTCTAGTTAGTTCTTAATTTCTACCTACTTCCTAAAATCTGTGATGAAAGGACCTCTGTAATTTCTCTCAGCTACTAAGACAACATTTTATAACCCTTTCTCGATGACTTAATTTAGGCATCAAGCGAGGCAATTTCTTTGACTAAGACACTGTGCCCTAGCCTAAACCCTCCTAATTTTTCTTATTCTTTTTGATTCCTCTGCCTCCAGCATACACTGCAAACTCAGGTATAAAATTGAACTATACTATATCAGGTGGTAGGACATTTTCTTGTCAAATCTATGTAGTTATTTTTTATATGAACTTCATATATTTTTATATATTTAAATCCTTTTCATATGATTTGCTTTCAAAACTTTTAATTTGAAGGGACCCCCCCTATTTAATTAGAATAAAGATTTTCAACTACAGTTATTTTCACATGTTACTCTATGACTATTGCTTGCTAATAGCTTCATTTACATTTGCAATAATCTCTCATTAAATCGGTATATTTTATTAATTATCTGAGGGGTTATGGATGTAACAATGAAACAAAGTGTATGGCCTTGAGAAACTCATTGTATAAATGGATAATTATAATAAATATTTAGATAATGTCTATGTTAAAATATTAGGAGTGCACTGAGCCGGGGAGGTTGAGGCTGCAGTGAGCCATGATCGTGCCAGTGCACTCCAGCCTGGGCGACAGAGTGAGACCCTGTCCCCACCAATTCTCCAAAAATATGTATTAGGAGTGCAGAGTGAGACTAGATAGAAGGAAGCAGATCACTTTTTAAATGTAAACATATGTTAAATATGGATATTGGGAAAAGAATTACCATGTATAGGACTATACACATGTATGCACATAAATATTTATAAATAGAAATTTAAAAATTTCTTTCCCCCCTTCCTAGTCTAAGATGTAAATCATCCTTGCAAATTTTTCTTTTAGTTTTTTTCTTCCTTTCCCAAGCATTTATAAAAGTTGCTACCTCATTCCTGCACTTTTCCCTCCATGTTCTTCCCTGTCCCAGAATCCTTCCACATCTCTTTATTAGTCTTTCCCTCATATTTTTATATCAACGTTCATGTTTAATTCTGTGCCTTAAAAGCCATGGGTCAGGAATAAATCTGGGTTGATGTGATTTCTGCTTTCAGAATATCGATGTGTGTTCCATATTTACTAAGACAAAACGAGTTATTAAACCCGGACAAATTTCGGACAGGCCTCAGCGTCGATGCTTTTTCTCTTAAGCATGTGAGCATCTGTGTGAAGCAGGACTGGTGTGTGCTTTGAGAAAAGTGTTGGCTGGCCCATGCATGTCTGTGCGTGTGTGTGATCATGCCTCCAAAGCTAAAGCTTTTCTTGTGTGCTTTCTGCAGGAGTTTGCCAAGTCTCAGAGCCGCTCTCCGTTTTTCTACTCTTATTGGACAGGGCTTTTGCGCCCTGACAGTGGCAAGGCCTGGCTGTGGATGGATGGAACCCCTTTTGCTTCTGAACTGTAAGCCTTCAGGATATTTTATGGGAAAGGCATTTAACAAAGATATTTTGCTTGAGTGACAGAGTTCAAGAATTTGGTCCATCAAGTATTACTCAAACTTCTGCTTTGTACTGGATACTGTGTTTGCAGGAGGATGACTGAAGATATTTGAACCATAGTGCGTCCTCATTTTGGTGTGTGTGTGTGTGTGTGTGTGTGTGTTTTGTTTGTTTGTTTTTTGAGATAAGGTCTTGCTCTGCTGCACGGGCTGTAGCGCAGTGGTGCAATCTCTGCTCACTGAAATCTCTGCCTCCCAGGCTGAAGCTCTCCTCTCATCTCAGCCTCCTGGGTAGCTCAGACTACGGGCGTGCACCACTACATCCAGCTAATTTTTTGTATTTTTTGGAAAGTTGGGTTTATGCTGTGTTGCCCAGTCTTGTTTAGAACTCCTGGACTCAAGCCATTTGCCCTTCTTGGCCTCCCAAAGTGCTGGGATTACAAGCATGAGCCACCGCACCCGGCCAGTGCTTGCTTTTGAACTGCTTATAAGCCAGTGAGGGAGACAGATACATAGCATTAGTGAAATATCAGGGTCGTTCTCTTGCTGCTGGCAGAAGTTTGTGTCTGGGACATACTGTGGATGAGAGAAGGGAGAGACAGAGAGAGAGATCTTTATGGGAGAATCAACTGAAGCCCAGGAGTCCAGGCTGTAATGGCGGTTGCCTAAAATCACACAACTGGTCAGTACCCAGAGATAGGATAAGATTTCTTGGCTTTCTGTGCATTAGTAAAATAGGGAACACATCTTTAAAAAATGCAGTCTCTGAGAAAAGATTTGCTGAAAATGTAAGGTGTAATATAAAACACTAGTCATATATATGCCGTGAGCATTTAGATAGGAGTACACATGGTATCTGTGTTAGTCTATTTTTGCATCAGCATAAATGAATGCCTGAGGCTGGATAGTTTATAAAGAAAGGAGGTTTAATTGGTTCACAATTCTGCAGGCTATACAAGCATCCGCTTGGCTTCTGAGGAGGCTTCAGGGAGCATTACTCATGGCAGAAGGCAAAGCAAGAGCTGGCATGTCCAATGGCTAGAGAGAACACAAAAGAGAGGGGGGTAGGAGGAGGTTCCAGGTCCTTTTAAACCACCAGATCTTGCATGAACTAACTGAGTGAGAACTCACTCATCACCAAGAAGAGGGCACCAAGCCATTCATGAGGGATCCACCCCGATGACCCAAATACCTCCTGCCAGGCCCCACCTCCAACACTGGGAATGATATTTCAACTAAGATTTGGAAAGAACAAACATCCAAACCATATCAGTATCCTTTGAAACAGGAAATTGTAATTTCTCTATCAAAATATATCACATTTAAAGCCATATTTGAACAGACATCCTTCTTCCCTATATACAATATATCATTTATTCTCCCAGGAGACAGGATATATTTGATGTAATCATTTGTATTTTACAGTTAAGTAAACTGAGTTACAGAGAAGGTAGATAACTTTTTAAGTGGCAGAGAAACTATATAAATTTGGAGGAGAACACGTAGCTTCACTTTAGTTAGAAATGATTTTTGCTGTTTTGGGTGACCTGCTGTTTCTTTTTTTTCCCCCTTTAATAATTTATTTATTTATGTATTTATTTATTTTTATTATACTTTAGTTCTAGGGTACATATGCACAACATGCAGGTTTGTTACATACATATACATGTGCCATGTTGGTGTGCTGTACCCATTGACTTGTCATTTACATTAGATATATCTCCTAATGTTATCCCTCCCCTCTCCCCCCACCCCACAACAGGCCCCAGTGTGTGATGTTCCCCTTCCTGTGTCCAAGTGATCTCATTGTTCAATTCCCACCTATGAGTGAGAACATGTGGTGTTTGGTTTTCTGTTCTTGCGATAGTTTGCTGAGAATGATGGTTTCCAGCTGCATCCATGTGCCTACAAAGGGCACGAACTCATCCTTTTTATGGCTGTATAATCCATGGTGTATATGTGCCACATTTTCTTAATCCAGTCTGTCACTGATGGACACTTGGGTTGGTTCCAAGTCTTTACTATTGTGAATAGTGCCACAATAAACATACGTGTGCATGTGTCTTTATAGCAGCATGATTTATAATCCTTTGGGTATATACCCAGTAATGGGATGGCTGGTGACCTGTTGTGTCTAAGAATGAGTGTGGAAACTTAGGGGCTGAAGAGAAAGAGGCATATGACCCCATTTTCCCAGTAAACTGATTCTGGTATCTAGACTATAATTTTATCACCCTAGGAAGAATGGGTATTTAATATTTTATTTTAGAAATAAACTGTGATTAAATTTACTTTTTCTTCATTTTTTAAGGTTCGAGATTATAATAGATGTCACCAGCCCAAGAAGCAGAGACTGTGTGGCCATCCTTAATGGGATGATCTTCTCAAAGGACTGCCAAGAATTGAAGCGGTGTATCTGTGAGAGGAGAGCGGGAATGGTGAAGACAGAGAGCCTCCATTTCCCCCCTGAAACATTAGGCAAAGGTGACTGATTCTCCCTCTGCAACTACAGATAGCAGAGTGAGCCAGGCAATGCCAATGCAAGGGCTACCTGAGACATCGGGAAATGGAACATAATCAGGAGACACTATCTCTCTGACTAGTACAAAATGGGTTCTCGTGTTTCCTGTTCAGGATCAGCAGCATTTCTGAGCTTGAGTTTATGCACATATTTAAAAGTCACAAGAAGTCTTATTTACATGCCACCAACCAACCTCAGGAACCCATAATGTCATCTACCTTCTTGGCTTAGAGATAACTTTTAGCTTTCTTTCTTCTCAATGTCTAATATCACCTCCCTGTTTCCATGTCTTCCTTACACTTGGTGGAATGAGAAACTTTTTGTAGAGGAAATACATCGAAGTAACATCCTTTTCCGTGACAGTCAAGCAGTCCATCAGAAATTAGCAGTTACTCCCCAGATTATACCACCAAATACACAAGGCATTCTTTTTGTTTGTTTCAGTTCATACTAGTCCCTTCCCAATCTATCAGTGAAGACCCCATCTGCCTTGTCTATGCCCTGTTTCCCAAAAGGGATGTCTCTTGATATGAGAATCTCAATGCCTTATAAACATTCCTTCCTGTGTCCATTAAGACTCTGATCATTGTCTCCCTTCCATAGGAATTTCTCCCAGGAAAGAAATATATCCCCATCTCAGTTTCATATCAGAACTACCGTCCCCGATATTCCCTTCAGAGAGATTAAAGACTAGAAAAAAGTCAGCCTCTTCATCTGCACCTGTAACAGTTTCAGTTCCTATTTTCTTTCATTGACCCGTATTTATACCTTTCAGGTACTGAAGATTTAATAATAATAAATGTAAATACTGTGAAGTGTGTGTGATTTTACAATGGACTTGTGATTTGTGGGAAAATTCAGCATGGAAATGCTTTTCAGAATATGATGGCAATCATTATTTTCATCGTGCCTTACTGAGATTTTTTGGGGAATTTACAAGAGTACTGATTACACGATTATTCGGAGAAAACAAGATGTCTTTGAAATACATGTTGTCTTCAAGAGAACAGTTTTAACATTTTCCTAAAATGAAATATTTTGAGGCAAGCTTATGGCATCAACACATGGTTGATGAGGAAGCTGAGTTGCATTAGTGCACACAATTTCCAGTCAGGTAGTGGAAAATGAACAGAGACAGTGACATCTTTGTAGCTGCTCCTTTGTGAGGCACTTCTTTCTTCAGATGACTCCATGCACAAATATAACACGGATCGTTGGGAGTGACACCATCACAGCCACCAAGTTTATTGGTTTATTGATAGTCAATTCTGAGGGTTTAATGCTAGAAAGGATAACATTATAAATCTTTGTTTTTCAACAGTGGCAACTGAGGTGCTTCAGTTTTGTTTTTCATAAACATCTATCTCATGGTAAAATGACATAGAGTAGCAATAATATGATAGAAAGAACACATTGGTGCTCACTTTCATAAATTTCATTTTGTTAGATTGTCACTTAGCAAAGACGATTGCAGATTCTTCCTTGAGAACTTTCCTTTCAATTTTCTGTTGATTTCCTTAAAATTTTCTTCAGGGTTGAGCAAGTTCTGTTGGTATATTGTGTCACGCAAAGAAAACTGTATTTGTGGTTAGAAAATGAAGATTTTAGATCTCTTATTCTGATTTACTTATTAGGCAAGTCACTTTATTTCATGAAGCCTATTTCACTGCATATGAAGTAGAAATAGTTATAATTTCCTCATAATGTTACTGTTAGCTGAAATGAAGTAAATGTGAAATCAGTTTCATAGTGTGAACTTCAATATAAAATGTAAGGGAAGTCAAGAAAATATTTTTAAAAGGATCTAGCGATCTATTTTTAAATATAGGGGGGCACACACACATGCATAAGCAATGTTAAAAAGAAAAAAAAACTTCAGCTGAATTAAATTTAAAAGAGTTTAATTGAGCAATGAAGCATTCACAAATCGGGTAGCCTCCAGAGCCAGAGTAGACTCAGAGGCTCCAGAGCAGCCATGTGGTGGAAGAAGACTTATGGACAGAGAAAGGAAAACGTTGTAAAGAAAACGGAAGTGACGTACAGAAAAAGCTGGATTGGTTACAGCTCGGAGTTTGCCTTATTTGAGCACAGTTCAAACAGTTGGCTACCTTTGATTGCCCAAAACACAGTGATTGGCACAAGTGTAGGCTAGGGTCTATTTACACCTCAACTTGTTATAGTTAACATTATGTACAGAGAATCCTTTAGGCTAAACTTAAAATATGTGAGAAGGCGGTGTTAGGCTAAACTTGATTTATTAATAACAACCAACTTCTTTGGAAATTTGTATTTATGAACAAATTGTAGAAGGGCACCTACTTTGGGGAGCTAAGGATTTTATTACCAAATATTTTGGATGACGAGTGCAGATTTTCAATGGAAGTAGTTCATATTAATAGGTACACAAGAAGAAATGAGAAGTAAGTCTGCAGTTAAGCAATTGTTATGTAAGCGTTGTTGCTACAGAAGGAAAATATGACTGATAGGAGGAAGTCAAATGATTTTGTGGCCTAAGTTGTAAAACAGAGACATGCACTCATTGAAGTTTTGACTCCTAGCATCCTATATAGCTGCAGTCTAGCTCAGGGATGGATGACAAGCATCTCTTTAAGTGTCATGGATGTGAAGAGTCTAGCTGCCTGCAGAGTGAGTGGTGAATGGTATGTCATTCCAAGACTGGGACTAAGAGATAGTGTCACTTTACATTGTGAGGAGGAAAAAATAACATACATTTGACATACTTCAGCTCCTTCCCTGAGCTTATTCTTCTTCGTCTTTCCCCTTAATCCCTTTGTCTTTATAGCAAAACTCACAATATTGATCACAGTGTGAACAAACATTTCAAAACAACAGAAAAAGTGTATAGCATAACATTCTCACTACACACTTTTGAAAAATCGATATTAAGAATAGGAAATAATGATAAAGTGAATTTTAAAATCTGATTTGCTAAGAACAATATCCAGTTGAGAATCAGAGAGGGGCACTGTATGAATTGGTTTTTCTAGATGAGGAGACTTTTTTCTCTCTAGGTTCTTGTTTATGTAATTCTGAAGAAATTGCAGGAACAGTCAAACGAGGAGCCCAGCCTTTCCTGGCAGAGCTGAGATCCCCGGGTACACAATAAGCTCTCTCTTTTCCTGAGGATATTGAACCTGCTCTCAGGATTTATCAACAGGAAACAGGCCATGAGCCCTGTAACAGCAGGAAGTGTGAGAAGGGTAATGGGGAGCTTTTATTTTAAGGATGCAAACACGTTATGAACAAGGCAGAGTCTAGTAGGTTGTCTCAGGGCCAGCTGTAATATGTGGGAGTCGACTCCTCTGTAGAGAGATTCTTACAGTATTTGAAGATTACAAACAGCAGGATCCTCTGATTTAAAGTCTGCATGACTTTTGTACATGCTTCATTATATGAATAGATATTTAGGTTCGAATAATATCTACTATTATTCTACCAATATTATAATATATATATGTGTATATATATTATACATTTAATGTACTTTAACCAAACATGTAACAAAAGCTTTTTTACATTGGCAAGACAGTTTTTAGTTTTCTTTTCGTTTGTTTAAGGCTAACTTAGAACTCAATGAAAGAGATCTAAGATGCCCAATTCATTGTTGGTGGGACTAGGATCTAAGACTGGCATACTCAGTGTTGCATTTGAAAAGCCTTGGTATCCTGGACCAACAGCAACCTGCAGAAAAGAATCTCCCAACTACAGCATCTGTGTGGAAAGCAGCATTGTTGCTGAGGAGATCTGTAGGAGCTGAAGTCAGCTATGCTATAGATAAATTCTAATTTGAAAATACTGCATCATACACTACGGGATGACATCAGTTGAAGAATGTTTGCCTTTTGCTTTATTGTACTTTTTAAAGAATGATCATAAATGCTTCATATCCTTTCTCTGAACGTAGTTCCATGACAATGCTTTAAAGAATCTTTAAGGCAAACAATCTTTGCTAGTAAATTCTGCTATTGTTTCTCCTTTATTCCAGGTTATTACATTCAGCTGCCAGCTGTCGGCTGTAAAAATCGAACACAGGAGACAATATATGCTGTGTTTTCTCTGCTATTCTCCTTTTTCAGGTTCGGCAGAAAATTAGAGAAAAATCTCTTTTACTTAAACTCCCACATTTAAACTCTAGGTCAAGGTAAATAAACAAAAACATGCTCTTCTCATCCTTACACAACCTTACCCCTTGTAAAAGGACATTTAGGTAAGAGGATATTTAATTTCATTTAAATGATTTCCAGTGATTCAGAGAATTAGGTTTTATTTTTACTTTATATATTTAAGTGATGTCTTTATGCTTAGGAAGAAAAGATGATAATCTAATGAATCTCAGCTCCTCCTTGTGAGAAATGAAGAATTAAATAAACTTATATTGAATTAAGCAAATATTTATTGAGAACCTACTAAGTGCTAAGGCGTTCCTGTAGGGACAGTAAGTGGTAACAAGTAATATAATAATAATTATGGAATCTGTTCTTTCTGTAGATCACAAGGTACTTTGCTATTAATCGTCTCTTGGGGATAAGATAGTCCATGCTTCAGGGAGCCTACAGACTTAGGGCAGAGAATGTCTATGGATTTATTTGAGGAGAATCCATTAACTTTAAAGCAGATATTCTCTTCAGAGAGTTGCTGACATTTTACCCATAAACTTTAACTTCTCAATATCCCTGCAACAGGAACAAAAAAAGGGATCATTTTTGTCTGGGATGCACAAATAAAGGCTGATGTGTAGAGATGACTGGTGATATAGTCCAGAGAACAAAACCAAGCACTGATACAGTGTTCAACTCTGTGCAAGACTATTCTCGGCACTGACATATATTTACAGTCTAATCCTCATACAATATTTTGAAGTAAGTTCTGTTGTTATTTTACAACGAGGCAATTGAGGCACTGAAAGATGTAATCGAAAGTGCTGGCGTGTTAACCCTGAGGGACCAGACCATGAGCCCTTTGATTTGTGAATGGTAGAGATGGTCATTGAGAGGAAAGAGGGAATTCACAGAATTCTCTGGAGAACATTTTGATCCTGGCATCCCGACTATTCCTTCTGCTTATGTCAAACTCTAGTAGTTCATCTTTCTAGTAGAAATCCAATCTTCAAAAGTACATTGTCTTACAGGCTGCAGATAGAAATCTGTCTTTCTTTCAATTTGGAAATTCATATCTCTGTTCTTCTATCCTATCAGTCTGATAACATAATGCCTGAAAGGCTAGAAAATGCATGGAAAGATCTCACAGACGGTGAGTTTAAAAGGCCAAATTTATTTATTTATTTTAAAAATATTAGTCAGCTGTAACTGCTTCACCTCCCCCAACAACATAGATCTGTACCTTGTGTGAAATTTACAGTCATTCTGGGCTTTAAACAATAAAAATGATTTCCATGCGTTTGTTCTTAACTCTTCGGGGTTTTGTCCTCTGTAGCTCGAAATAAGTTTTATTCTTGCAATATGAACAATATTGAATGAAATCTGGACGGTGTGGAAAAATATTCCCAAGTGTATTATTGAGTCCCAGGTTGCTAATTTCATTGCCCACATTTTGGTTTACTGTTCTGTTTTTTTTTTTTTTTTTTTTTTGCGGGGATGTTGGAGGGTGAGTTTTCCAATGGCCTATTCCAAATAACAGTGTAATAGAACACTTTGAACACAATTTCTTTCAGACAGAGGATCTTAACGCATACTTCTCGCAGATAAAATACTTCCAAGTGCTGCAGTTAGACAAAAGAAGGGAACTGTTTTTGATGTATCCACAGACTTGGTTCGTTGACTGGGATCTCTCTACTGGCAACCTGGAAAGGCAAGTCAGCATTTCTGAGGTTAGATTTGGGGGTTTCAGAGATGTTCCCGAGGGTAACTAATGAGATGTGTGTAGCTACTTGTTTTGTTTTGTATTAACATAGCACCTTCCTGTGGTGGTTTTGTCCTCCTTCTTCAGTAACTGCTTATTTCTTTCAATAAGGAATGTTAATATAATTTGAACAAAAACAGCATGTAAAGAAAACGAAAACGTAGATACCCAAAGACAGTCCCTAAATTAGAATGTCTTTGCTGACTCTTAATTTTCAAAATACTAAGGCACCTGATTCTGCTTCTTCATCTCCCCACTGCCATCTGAAAAGCTTAATGTGGAAATGAATAGTTACTCTCTACATACTAAGCAATACAAAAGAAACACACTTGATAATTATATTATTCATCAGACACTCAAATTGTGAGTTGAACTATAAGATAATAGTAGCAGGGCTGGGAAGGAGAAAGACTTAGAAGGCATGAAGCTATTCTTAATTTTGTTAGCTTTAATCCCAATTAGGCCGGGCGCGGTGGCTCGCGCCTGTAATCCCAGCACTTTGGGAGGCCGAGGCGGGCGGATCACGAGGTCAGGAGATTGAACCCGGGAGGCGGAGCTTGCAGTGAGCTGAGAGCGCGCCACCGCACTCCAGCCTGGGCGACAGAGCGAGACTGCACCTCAAAAAAAAATAATAATAATAATAATCCCAATTAGCCGCCTGTAACATTATCATGCTGCTTGTCCCTTGGAGAAAATTCATGATACAAGGTAAAATAAACTTTTGAATTCCCTCATGTTTCTAACTTTTCTTGTAGCATTTTACTCAGAGACTTACAGGCCAGGAGAAGGAGAGGAGCCATCTTGCCAAAGCCAGCGTCCGCTGTGTCCATCCTGAGACAAACCCACCCAGTAATCGTAGCTTCCTCTAATCTTCCTCAAGCTGCCAGTGATAAAATCCTATAAGAGATAAAACCTGAACTGTGAAATGAGAAAACAAACAAAACTCTAGTGAAATATAAAGTGTGACATTGTGCCTAGCTAGAAATTAATGGGAACTTGAAATCTGGAAAAAGAGAGAAGGGAGTATTATAAAAAAGTGCAGATACATTTTTTAGACTATTTTCTATTGCTGTGTGATCCATGTGGTGTTAAAAACTATGAAAAAAATAAACAACTGGGATTTTTAAAGTTTCAACATATTCAGAGCCCGATAGGTAGTATACGTCAAAAAAAGAAAGTGTTATACTGAACCTTCAATATCAAAAGTAAAAGTATTCTTGACATTATAGACCACATAGAATAGTCTTTCTCAGAATACTTCGATGTGGAAACATAGCTCATGAGATTCCAGGAGTAACTTAAGTATGAGCACATTCGGTTAGAAGAAGCATTCTAATTTGTGTCATCAAATTTGCACATAAAATAACTTTTTAAGCATACAATTGTAATAATTTACTTCAAGTGTTCTTGATTTGTTGCATATCCTTAACAAATTATTTTCTCATGACTTTTGTTGAAATGAACTTCATCTAATTACTGAATATAGCAGGTATACCTTTTTTATAGGGCCAAAGTGTGCAATTTTGCATTCTATTTCACATATATTTATGGGTAGAATGAGTTCAAGGAAACATCTTATTGTTCACTTGTTTTATTTTATTATTATTATTATTTTTGAGATGGAGTTTTGCTCTTGTTGCAAAAGCTGGAGTGCAATGGCACTATCTCAGCTCATTGCAAACCTCTGCCTCCTGGGTTCAAGCAATTCTCCTGCCTCAGCCTCCCACGTAGCTGGGATTACAGGCTCCCACCACCATGCTCGCCTAATTTTTGTATTTTTAGTAGAGACAAGGTTTCACCATGTTGGCCAGGCTGGCCTTGAACTCCTGAGCTCAGGTGATCCACCCACCTTGGCCTCCCAAAATGCTGGGATTACAGGTGTGAACCACCCCGCCCAGCCTATTCACTTGTTAAGATGTTGGTAAACTAGATTTAATGCCAATTAAACATTTCATTTAGCAGATACTTATTTTTCAAGACCTATTTATTTCATGGCATCACTTCAGTTTTTATACTTCTGTTTTTTCTTGATAATTACAAGATTATTATAGGTTATTATATTTGCCTACAGCATTGAAAATAATACGTTTAAAACATATCTGCAACTATAATGTATGTATATCTTGAAGTGGATTATCATGCTATGAAATAGTATTCTCCTTATTCCCTCCTCTTTTTAATTAACCAAGCACATAGAACAAACATATTCTTCCCGATTTCAGATAACCATCCTGTTTTTATGTTTTCCCATTAAAAAGAAAATAAAACATACAGATTCTAACTTTGTCTCTTTTAAACCTTTATTTTTACAATTATACTGCTGTTATACAATATTAAGAAACTTTATCTTATGAGAATGAAGGATTTCTTTTAATAAGTAAAATGGTATTTTCAGAATAACATGAGACCACAAAACAGTGTTTACCATTTCTTCTTTGCTCTCTATTTGTAGCAGTGTGGAACCTTCCTTTAAACAATTCTCTTGACTGGTGTGCCAAATTCTCCAATGTTCAGAGACATAGTAACAGCTTTCTCTGTTCTGAATCCAGTTGTTTGGACAAGGACTGCAGTTATGGGCTTTGAATATAAACATTTTACTTTAGTATCTTATTGTAAAATATTAACAACATATATCCCCCAAAAAGCTCCTTGCCTCACCCTCAGTGAGGCTGAATCCCATAACATAATGGTTCACATGATGTAGCACTTACCAATTTCAGCTTCTCTGAGGCTCAATAGAGTAAGATTCATGTAATACGTTCTACATGCAATGGGCCTTTAACTTAAATATGAAATTAATTGTGGGATATATTTAACTAATTTTTTTATCTTCTATAATAGTTAATCTGATTATTCCCGTTTTATCAGCCTTTCCTTTCTTTGAATTCACATCATTTTTTGTCTTCACTTATTTGCTTATTGTTTCATGTTGGTTAATCTTACTGCCCCAATTTAGCTGGAAATGTACTGGGCCATTGCATGGATTGAATCATAAGCCTTGAATTTATGTTTAAATTCTGAGAGCTAAACAAGGAAATATTTTATAGATCATGGAGAGAACAAGTAATCCACCTTAAGAAGTGATTTGAAAACATGCAGGTGAGGAAAATTGGAGAAGAACATAAGTGAACAATATGTGTAGTTTAGGACTCTGATACAACTAAGAAGTAAGCCTTAATATTTAATCAGTTTTATGGAACCTGTTTTAAGATGGAATATAGTCACAAAAGAAGAATGGTCAAATGTGTAAAAGGGGGACCAAAGACCGAGAATTTGACCAAGTGTTTCTGGCACAGGTTTATAGAAGGAAAGACACTGAAACTTCCACAACTCTGGTTTCTAGACAGTCCCTGTATTTAGGCTAAGAAATAACTCATCAGTAGCTTCCATGGGCCAGATGTTGAGTTGTTTAAAGCTCTTCAGTATCTTTTGTTTGGAATCCCTGCTAACCAATATCCTGAACATTGTTAGAGTTATAGTATAAATAATGTAGACAATGGTATTTGTGACGTTGAAGAACGTGTTGGATTTGTAGGTCTCCAAAATGGATATTGTTGTTCTATTGAAGGTTGATGGCTCAGAGGTGGGTCTCACTCGAGTTTGCAGTGGCCTGCTGCATATAGAGACATTGCTGGGCACACAGTGATCCTTCAGATACTTGATTGAATTTTAATCAGAAGGAACTATGGTTGATTTTTGACATCTCTCATTGGCAATTATGTAAATGGTATCCAGTCTAGGAAAGTTAATTCTCTAAACTATATGTACAAGCATTATGAAATGCCAATTAAGTAACCATAGAATACTTGACAAACTATATGACAGGTAGAAATAGACTGCATTAGGTTTAAAATGCTTGTAAAGCATATAAAAGATTAAGCTGGAGTAAATTCATAGAATTTTAAAAAAGAGCTAGGTCCTGCATCGTAAAAGAATTTTGTGGTAAATACTTATTTTCAAAATGAATTTTTCTGCTCAAAGCTATCTAAACTTGAAACTAAAACAGTATCTAAACTAAATATATTGGGAAATTTGGAGCTAGAATTAAAATACCCTTACAAATTTGAATGGCTGGATAAAACGATGTCTTTTTGTGTGTGTGCGTGTATTTTTTTAATCTGACCTACTAATTGCACACACACCTCTTTGGCATTTGACACTACATTTCCTTTAGTTGTATTCTTTTGGATCCCTGGTGTTTCCACATAGTATTGGATGTTATAATAAGATTGAACTAAAGAGTGATCAAAATTATGTTACTCTTATTATGAAATCCTAACAGTTTTGCAGAGAACAAAATGTGTGTCACTGTTTCTTTTGAGGTATTGGTGTATATATTTAGATGTATACAGTGGAAACTGATTTTTATCCATTACCTGAACTAAAAGAGCTTTGCATGAAGGTTTGACAAAATTTCATCTGAAGGACATGGCTTCTCTTCCATTCTGTAAAGTTTAGTAGTGCCCTCTCTTGTTGGATGAGTTTTTCTTGCTGCTGCATCGCAATGGTGGACACCTGCAACACTTCAAATGACACCGATCATTCCTGATAAAATACTGACATTTTATAGCAAAAGAATCCTTCAACACAAACTAAAGACAACTACAAATTACTATTATTTTTGAGAGTTGAATTTGTATTATTTTAGTTTTTGCTTAAAATTTACATTGTACAAGAATCAAACACTACAAAGGACATGGAACAAAATTTCTCTTGCACCCCTTTTTAATTCACTCGATTTTACTCCCCCCAACCAGATTTACCAATTTAATTTTTATTATTTGGGAGCTTTTGAATGTTACACATAAAACAAAATGAAACTTCACAAATGAAAGCAAATGAATATAAAACTCGCTCTCTCCCCTTAACACAAATGGTAACAATATGTTTACATGGTTTTGCAGCTTTTATCATTAACATACATATTTGAACATAGTTTCATATCAGTACATAGACATGTAGAATTATAGTACAATGGCACAACCAGGATATTGACATTGATACAATCAAGAAACTCGGTTCCTCCATTACCATCAGGATCTGTCCTTGCCCTTTTATAAGTACACTCACTTGGGAGGCCGAGACGGGCGGATCACGAGGTCAGGAGATCAAGACCATCCTGGCTAACACGGTGAAACCCCGTCTCTACTAAAAAATACAAAAATCTAGCCGGGCAAGGTGGCGGGCGCCTGTAGTCCCAGCTACTCGGGAGGCTGAGGCAGGAGAATGGCGGGAACCTGGGAGGTGGAGCTTGCAGTGAGCAGAGATCCGGCCACAGCACTCCAGCCTGGGCGACAGAGCGAGACTCCGCCTCAAAAAAAAAAAAAAAAAACCAAAAAAAGTACACTCACTTCCCTCTTGCCTTCACCCTTGTTTACTCCTGGCAATCACTAATTTGTGTTCGTTTTCTATCACATGAATGAAATATAAATGGTATCTTACAGTACGTAACCTTTTGCTCTTCGCTTCATTCACTCAGAATAATCTTCTGGAGACTCATGCAGACTGTTGTTTAAATAAATAGCTCACCTATTTTGTATTGTTGAGTAGAATTCCATGATATGGACTATCACTACTAGTTTAACTGTTCGCCCACTGAAGGACATCCAGGTAGTTTTCAGGTTTTAGTCATTACAAATAGAGCTACTATAGGCAGTCATGTACAGGTTTTTGTGTGAACATAAGTTTTCATTTCTATGAGGTATACGCTCAAGAGTGCAATTGCTGTGTTTTAATGAAGTGTGAAGTTTAGATTTTTAAGAAACTGCTACACTATTTTCCACAGTGGCTACAGCATATTACATTTCCACCAGGAATGAGTGAGTGATCCGCTTTCTCTGTAGCTTGACATGCATTTGATGTTGTCACTTACTGTTATTTTAGCCATTCTGATTATGTGTGTAGTAATATCTCACTGTAGTTTTAATTTGCATTTCCTTAATGGCTAATGACATTGAACATCTTTTCTTGTGCTTATTTGACATTTGTATATTCTCTCTGGTGAAATGTCTTTTCATGTCTTTTTGCCATTTTCTCATTGGATGTTCTAGTTTTTTACTGTTGAGTTTTGAGAGTTCTTTGTACATTCTAGGTTCTAGTCCTTTGTCAGATATTGATTTACAAGTATTTATTCCCAGTCTGCAACTTGTCTTTTATTTATTTACTTATTTATTTTTGTGGCGATGGGGTCTTGCCTTCTTGCCCAGGATGGTCTTGAACTCCTGGACTCAAGGAATCCCAAAGTGCTGGGATTACAGGCATAAGCCACCACACTTGGCCCGTAACATGCCTTTTTATCCTCTTCCTAGTGTTTTTTGCAGAGTATGTATGTTTCATTTTGATGAGGTCCATCCAGCTTACCAATTTTTCCTTTCATTAATCATTTTTTGATGTCAGCCTAAGAATTATTTGCCCACCTTTAGATTCTGAAGATTTTGTCGTTTATTTTCGGAAAGGTTTATAGTTTTATGCTCTACATTTAAGACTGTGATCTATTTTGAGTTAACTTTTAATTTTTGTGTAAGGTATAAGACTTAGGCTTATTTTCTTTTTCTTTTGTTTTTTCTTCCCTATGGATGTCTAATTTCTCCAGCACCATTTGTTGAAAAGCCTATCCTTCTTCTTTCAATTGATTTGCACTGCTGAAAAAATCATTTGGGCATATTTGTATGAGTCTATTTCTGGATTCCTTACTGTATTTTATAGCTGTCTTTTTGTCCACTAATACACCTAGCTTTAATTAATACAGGTTTTGGAATCAGGTAAATTGATTCTACTCAGTTATATAATTGGTTTAAAATAAGTTTATGATATGTTAATCATTATCGGATTGTGGCTATTGAATAGACATATTGTATAGAGAGAATGGCATCAAGAAAAATTAATTAGTGAATTAAGAAACAAATCAAAACACTTATGCATGTCAGCCAGACCTTTAGGATTAAAAATCCTCTTTTAGAGAGAAACAGAACAAAAGAGGAGAACAAATGGGCAAATCTCTAAAATTATGTTCATATTTTTAACCACAAAACGGAGGTAACCAAGATCACACACAAAAATCTTCTGACCAAGACAGGCTGGTCGCGGTGGCTCTTGCCTGTAATCCCAGCATTTTGGGAGGCTGAGCGGGGTGGATCACTTGAGGTCAGGAGTTCGAGACCACCATGGCCAACATGGCAAAGCCATGTACTAAGAATACAAAAATTAGCTGGGAGTGGTGACATGCACGTGTAATCCCAGCTACTCAGGAAGCTGAGGCAGGAGAGGTACTTGAACCCAGAAGGCAGAGGTTGCAGTGAGGTGAGATTATACCCCTGCACTCTGCACTCCGGCCTGGGCAAGAGAGTAAGAAAAGAAAAGAAAAAAACACATTTAATTACATATCTACATATTCTGATCTGTTTTACTTATCAACATTGCTGCTGAGAAGAAAATACCAGACATCAAAAGCCATGGACTAGACAAAGCAGATGTTTATGCCCCATCCATCTGTGGATAGGTAAAAAAACTCAGGCTGTCAGCTGCTTGGAGTTTTTTCCCTCTTTTTAGCAAAATGATGGATCTAACCAGAGTCGAGTGTAGGACAGTGGTGCGCTAATTTTATCCTATTAATGATCTGGCATGTTTAGACATTGAAAAATAATAATTTTCCTCTTAGATTCAATATATAATTCTAAAATTTTATATTTAGATGCTTTTTTAGATTAGCCATATTATAGAAGCTATTGTTGTTTGTTTATTACTATCTGAACAGCTTATACTATATGAAACTGTAATAAAACTGGAGAAAGAGAAATGAGACTTCTCTTCAGAGTTTCACCCTAAATGGGAAGCAAAATATAGCACCTTTATTGGGGTTGAAGTTGTAATAAATTTGCAATGAGGACTAAAGACAAACCGATATAATTATCTAGGGAAAAATAACAAAATACTTTTAACATCCCCCAAATAAAATTATTTGTTATATGATATTATACATTATACCTAATTGATGAATTAAGAAAATGAACAGTAAAAACAAATAAAAAAGCTGATTTCTTAGAAAATATTTTGAACTATACAGTTTTTTAAATAAAAAAATTAATGGCATAAATAATGTAGAAAAATTAGAAAATGTGAAATAGTAGGAAGAAAACTAAAAATTAAGTCTACTTACTTTGAAACCTACCACTCAAATATGGCCATTAGTATTTGGTTTATATCTATTGAAACTCTTTCCTATGTACGTATATAGAAAAGTATTTTATATACAACCTTTAGAAAACCATATTTTTATATAAATGTCTTTTTAGAAATCTGCTTCTTTCATGAGAAAATATTGCATAACCATATTTCCAAAATAATAACAATGGTTCTAGAAGATTTCTTTAAATAATGGCATTGTATTCTTTTATATAAATATGACTTAATTAATTTTGCCAGTCCTTCTATTGTCAGGTAGGAATGAACAGTCCTTTGGTAATATATATGAGTAATTTGTAATCAGCACTTTCATTATATTCATGTTATGATACTTTTAAATAAAAGGTTATAATTTTCATTTACTACTTTTTGTCAGAACATGGTCCTATTTAAAAAATATATATATGTATATAAGTTAAATATGTTTTGACATTTGTCTTACAAGGCAAGTTTTCACAAAGAGAATTGGATGTAACATTTTAATTTAAAATGGAACATAATCAAAATGGAATATTTATTAAAAAATAAACATGACTTTTGTAACTCAAAGCCTACTGGCTATAACTTAATCTATAACCAGCTGGGACAAGTAATTAGTTATTGAACAGAATGTTTCACATGAAGAAGCTGCTTATTGCTTAACACAACAGTTTCAATATGGTAACTGGTTGTATTTTTTTAAAGCCCTAAGTGTTAAAAATGTATAAGAAGACCTAGGCAAATTATAAATTTAAAAACAACAACAATAAAAATTAATAGTCACTACACTTGAACAAAAGCTAAAGGAAAATATACTTTACATCTGTATAGTGATATTTAAGTTTTGTAAGTATACATTTTTAGCTATTAAGACAAAATTTAAAAAGCAAAAACTTTTATTTGTAAGAATTTTCTAGAAATTATTGGAAGTCTTAAGCACATGGTTTTCTAGCTATGTTTCTTTTATCCTCATCAAAGTAACATTTTCTTCATATAATTTGTGTTTGGGGAGTTAACTTTTTTAAAAGATACACTTCATTCATAGGATTAAAACATTTAAAAAAATCCAAAAAGTAAACATTGAAATATCTTTTTCTCCACATTGTCACGATTTATCTCACTCCTCTTGCCCTCACTTTTAGTATTTCTTATATAACCTTCCATTGTTTGTTTAAATTCAAGAAAATGTTCATTTTTAGTCAAATTGTAACATAGCATATACATTTAAAAAATAATTTCAGCTTTTATCTAGATTCAGGGGGTACATGTGCAGGTTTGTTACTCAGGTATATTGCATGATGCTGATGTTTGGGTACAACTGATCTCATCAGCCAAGTTTTAAATGCTGTTTTTTGTGCTTTACATACAGAAGTGTTTCTTCTTTCTTTTGTTGTTCTTGCTTCCAGGTATTCTGTTGTGTAGATGATGTACCCTTATTTATTAACATGGTCTCTTATCAATGTGGTGGGTATTTGAGGCTTTCCCCCTATTGTTAGATTGCAGGTTTATCCATGGGAACAATTTCCAAAAGTGGTACTGCTGGGTCACAATTAAGACAGTTTAAAATAACTCACCATCTTGAGAACATGATTTATAGGTTTTATATAAAGAGATTTCCTTTACTAGACCAAGAAGACACTTACGTATACACTGAACAGCAAATCTTTTGATGACATGGAAAACGTAGAGTGTAATTTTTTTTTTTTTTTTTTTTTTTGAGACAGAACCTCTCTCTGTTGCCCAGGCTGGAGTGCAGTGCTGCGATATTGGCTCACTGCAGCCTCCACCTCCCTGGTTTAAGCAATTCCCCTGCCTCAGCCTCCGGAGTAGCTGGGATTACAGGCGCATGCCACCACTCCTGGCTAACTTTTTTGTATTTTTAGTAGAGATGGGATTTCACCATGTTGGCCAGACTGGTCTGGAACTCCTGACCTCAGGCAATCCACCTGCGTCAGCCTCCCAAAGTGCTGGGATTACAGGCGTGAGCCACCACGCCTGGCCTAAAGTGTACTCTTATAATCATAGTTATTATGTAATATATGATTTTTGTCTATATAGTAGAAAAAATATTTGGCAATTGGAGACTATTGATTTATGTTTATATAAAAACCAAATTATATATCCCATTCACTTGACAACATTGCTTCAAGATGTTGCATCTTCAATTAATTTTTGTTTTTAATTGGAAATGATTTTATACTTTAGGTTTCAAAATCTTCTTACCCCAAATAATTATTTGTAAAATAATATTGAAATTCGTTATATAGAATTAACATTTAAACAGCACTTTTAAATATTTGCAATGCAATTTAAATATGATTTTTTATATTGTAGAGGTACAATGAAGCTTGGCAATGTGTCATTAAAAGTCCTCAATTTTTGCAGAAGTGGATTATTAGATGTTAATTGACTTAACTGGTCTTTTAGATATAAATTGTTTCTATTGTGTTTGATAAACAGGTATTTAATATGTATGCTTCTTAAAAAATGAACTCACATTTGCCTAAAATATGTATTTTTTAATAAGACACAAAGAGAGTAGATAGAGAAAAAGAAAGCTGTCTTGAAGTTCTAACATTTTTGTTAAGCTGTGAAACTTTATTTGAGGAGATAGACAAAGGAACAATTACTGATTAAGCTCTTAGCAATTCTTAAAACCTTCCTGTAAAAACCAGCAGAAAATGAAGCTCATGACATTACCTGAGCAAGATCAAACTTCCCATATTTTGTGAGTGCGAATCTGAACCTTTCCCTTCCTTATTCTCAGAGTTCATAATTCTTCCTCTCCGGCTGATGTCTTTTAGATAGAGATGTGATTTGCCAAGGCATGTAAGAAAGAAACATCTATCCAAACAATACCCTTCCCCTCTGTCTTTTAATGTACATTTTTCTTAGTACTAGCATGAGTGATGTTAGAGGTTCATAGTTCTTTTTCTGGAAACTGAAACTCTGTAATTATTAAATTTTATAAAAATTGCACTTGTCAAACATGAAAACATTTCTTCTATTTGGACTAAAAAGCAATGTGGTTAAATGTGACCAACAAAGCTCTCGGGTTTGCATTAAACATTTTAAATTGAAACTTGCCTAATATAAATAATCTTTAAAAGTCAAATTTAAATTAAATATGTATTAGAAACAGAAAAGCAGAATGTGAAATCTTTCAAATTGAATGCTTTAGCACGTTAGCATGACTCACAAATTGAATTAGAATATGTTATTATTTTCATTGTTTCTCCCAGAGACCTACAGCATATAATTTGAGTTAAAAAACATGCAATAGATCACTGAAAGTTATCAGTGGCATCCAAGTGCTCAGAGATTTCTATCAAATGCTTGAAATTTGAGGCCATTATTTTACATCATTTATGTGCATTCACATATTACTTGATTGATTTTCCATCCATTTATAAATTATGAAGTTCTATACATAATTACCTACATATATCATTATATATAAGCTATTTGTAGTGTATAATACATATATCAATATAGGTTATTTTGAAAATATATTTTTGCACTTACACTTGACGCCCAAGAAAACGGATGCTGTTAATAACCCCATGCAGAAAATACAGGAAATCACCGTCACAAGACACCATGCTCCTAACCATGGAATAGGAAAAATGAAACCAAGTTAGAGAAAGTAGATAAAAAAGATGGGGCAAGGATGGATTGAGATTGAGTAAAAAAAGGAATTAACATTGGCATTTCTACTGAGAGTTGTTGGGGCCTGGAATGTGTAAAAGAAAAGGAAAAAGAGAACCTTTGCTCAAATGCATTGAAATGCAACTCATAACTTGGAATACATGTGATATGGAAATTGCCAAATTAAATAGATTTAATAGTATACTTCTGTTATCCTTATCTTTGATGTCACACCTTATCAACGAATTGTATGTATTCTTTTCCAACCATCTTTTAGAGATTCCCCCAAGCCAAATGCTAGCTTTATCTTTTGAGATCAAAAATGCTGTCTCACATCTCCCCATCTCTTCAGTGTTACTTGAACATGGTTAAATAAAAGAGAGATACACATTTTAAATATATACTTTTAAATATACATTTTTGGAAGACGAACAAGTTTTCCAAGGTAATTTTACAAACCTGCAGAGAGGAAAAAAAGGAATATGTGATTTTTTTGTATTCAAACACTAATCAGAGAAAAATAGTTAAAATTTATCTCTGGATATTGTGATAGGCAGAGAAACGCCCCTGCCTCACATGCCAGTGTCATAATTACTGGAACTTGTAAGTTACCTTATGTGGAAAAGGGACTTTGAAGATGTCATTAAGTTAAGGATTTGGGATGGGAAGATCAACCTGAATTATCTGGATCCTCTTTAAGTGAGAGGTAGGATATTGGAGGGACAGCATGGCGTGATAATGGAGGCTGAGCAACATTTAAAGACATTATGTTGTTGGTTTTCAAGACAGAAAAAGGGTCCATGAGCCAAGTAAAGCAATAAATGCAGCTCTAGAAACCAGAAAAGACAAGGTATAGATTCTTCCACTAGATTCCTGCCAACACCTTTGTTTCAGCCCATTGAAATCCATTTCAACTTGTGACGTGTAGAGCCCTAAGATAATAAATTTACGTTCTATTAATCCCCTAAGTCTGTGTGATTGGTTACACCAGCAGACAGGGACTAATATAGATATTAAATGATGCAGACAGAACTAATCACTGTAGCCAACAACTCTAGGCCAATGAGATCTTGCCAGTTTTTCAACCTATGTTTTCTCTTTTTATTTATTAGTATTTATCAGATAATTTGCAGAATGTTTTAATGGGACTTCAGTTAATTAAAGTTGTATTTTTTCACAAATTTCCCAAATCGAGGTATTCTTTTTCTTTTCCAGAGAGGCAGAGGAAAAAACAGTTCCACATATTTATCAAGTTAATTGCTCTTTTTATTTTTCACCTTTAATTACTCCTTCTCCACTTCATTAGCATTTCACGGACATTACATTACCCTTAACTAGACTATCTCAGATTAGAATAAGCATCTTGGCCTCATGATAGAGCAGAAAAAAACAAAACAAAACACAAAGAACAAAAAACATGAACCCTAAAGTCTCACACAAAATAGCTAGAACTGGTTACCTGAACATTTGTTGGAAGACAGACATTTCTGGTAAGTGTTTGGTGCTGGACTATCCCACTGAAGAGAGGTGTATATTTCTTCCTCATGCATGTCTGAGGTGCTTTGATAGGAAAGCAGTCCACACAGGAGGCTGGAACAAATAACTCCTCTTGTGGTTTGGAGCAGGTTGGTGAAAGAACTGAAATTGGTTACATTTTCACAGTAGTGGGAAACTATGTTTGTGTTTAAGGAGTAGAATAGATGCACCTTCATTCAGAAAGTGGAAGTTTATGAAGTCTAAGCCAAAACACAACTTGGTGAAAAAGGAAATGAGAGAGAACTGAATTCAGAATGGCCAATGATAGAACATTTTTTATCTGGTTTCCAAAATGTAGCAGATGTTGAAGGTGACAGCAGTGAGTTCAGAAGAAAAAGATGTAAGTGCAAAGAATGCACTTTGGTATAGGAGATGAAGCATAGGGGTGACCTAGATAGTAAAGATATAAAGATAACTCACATCAGGCAAACCAGGGTGTAAAGAGTGGGAGATCACTGGGTAGCCTTCAAAGCTAGGAAGGGATTTCAACCTTAAGTAAATTTACATACTGTATATCTGTTGGTGTAATGCTAGTTACTGTGATAAATAAACCTCAAAATATCAGCATCTTAACACAATAAGAGTTTATATCTTACGTAATGTTTTAGCTCCAGGAATCCTAGTTAGTGATAGCATTCCTCCAAATGAGACTTGGGATTCTTTCATCTTGTCAGTTGAAAACGTTTATTGGAACTGCATGACCTGCCTGACAAAGGCCGTGGACTAATATAGAGAACGTGTACCTTTGCCAACGAACACATGGCAGGGAGAGAGCCCGTCGAATTAATACCCTACCTCTGATCACCAGTGCCTTCCATTGGCTGAATTTACAATTCAGGGGCCAAGTTTATGTGCTCTGATAATGTGTTCATTTGAGCTCAGCCTCTCAAAACACAGGTTGGAACTGAGATAATCCCCAGGGGCAATTGAAGAGAATATCCAGCCCATTCGCATACATATATTTTTAGACGGAGTTTCACTCTTGTCGCCCAGGCGGGAATGCTGTGGCCCTGTCTTGGCTCACTGCAACCTCTGCCTCCTGAGTTCAAGCAATTCTCCTGCCTCAGCTTCCCAAGTAGCTAGGATTACAGGCACTTGCCACCACGCCCAGCTAAGTTTGTATTTTTAGTAGAGATGGGGTTTCGCTGTGTTGGCCAGGCTGGTCTCAAACTCCTGACATCAGATGATCCCCCTGCCTCGGCCTCCCAAAGTGCTGGGATTACAGGCATGAGCCACTGTGCCTGGCCCCATTCTTCAGTATTTTATGTGATGCTCACATGACCTGAGATTCACATCTGAAAATTAATGTAACTTAATCCCACATAGCCTTGAAGTAGGATCACTTCTATCTTGAGGAGAAACAGAGGAAGAAATCATAAGCATACCAAATGTACATTGAGACTAATGTTAGGAACACGGTAACAGAGGCTTAAGTTGTCATTAATTTCCAATTGTTCTCAACTTTTATCAGCACTAAATATCAGGTTCAGAAAGACTCCTTTTCCCCAAATATAGAACATTCCCTGATAAATTTCATTGTATGGAGCCACTGGCTTCTCTTAGTGCAGGATTAATATGTTCCCTTTATTACTTTTGATGTTTTTAATCATACCTTTATTTATTGTTAATTATATTCCAAGTACTATTTTCAAGAACTTATACATGAATTATTTTGATTATTACCAATGGATCAATGAAATAGGCGCTATCATTAGTATCGAGTACAGGCATATCTTGTTTTGTTGAGTTTTGTATTATTGTGCTTTGCAGATATTGCATTTTTTAAAAAGTGAAGATTTGTGGCAACCCTCTTTCAAGCAAGTCTATCAGTGCCATTTTTTCCAACAACCTATGGTTACTTTATGCCTCTGTGTCACATATTGGTAATTCTCATACTATTTCAAAACTTTTCATTATTATTACTTGTTATGGTGATCTTTGATGTTACTGTTATAATTGTTTTGGGGACCCACCGTGAACTATACCCATATAAGCTGGTTAACTTTGTTGATAAATATCAGTAAATACTGTGTTGTTCTAACTGTTCCACCCACTGACTGTTCCGTCATCTCGGTACCTTTTCCTTGAGCCTCCTTATATTCCCTGAGAACTAACAATATTAAAAACAGGTCAAGTAATAACGCTACAAAGTCCTGTAAGTGTTGAGGGGAAGAGTTGCATGTCTTTCACTTTAAATCAAAAGTTAAAAATAATTAAGTTTAGTGAGGAAGACATGTCAACAGCCAAGATAAGCCAAAGCCTAGACTTATTACATAAAACAGCTAGCCAGGTTGTGAATGTAAAGGAAACATTCTAGAAGGAAATTAAAAGTGCTGCTCCAGTGAACACACAAATAATAAGAAAGCAAGATAGCCTTATTACTAATATGGAGAAAGTTGAGAGGTCTAGATAGAAAGTCAAGCCAATTACAACGTTCTCTTAAGCCAAAGCCTAATTCAGAGCAAAGCCTAACTCTTTTCAATTCTACGATGAGTGAGAGAGGTGAGGAAGTTGTAGAAGAATAATTGGAAGCCAGCAGAGGTTGGTCCAGAGGTTTAAGGAAAGAACCCATCTCTCTAACAAAAAAACGAAAGATGAAGCAGTAAATATTGATTTAGAAACTGGAGAATGTCATCCAGAAGATAAAGCTGAGATAAGTGAAGGTTGCTACATTAAACAACAGATTTTTAGTGTAGATGAAACAGCTTTGTATTGGAAAGATGACATATAGGACTTTTATGGCTAGAGAGGAAAAGTCAGTGGCTGCCTTGAAAGCTTCAAAGGACAAACTGACTCTATTGTTAGGGGCTAATGCAACTGGTGATTTTAAGTTAAAGCCAATAGTCATTTATCATTTCAAAAGCCCTAGAGACCTTAAGAATTGTCCTAAATATACCCTGCCTATTCTCTATAAATAAAGCAACAAAGTCTTTATTGGATGACAGCACATTTGTTTACAGCATTGTTTACTGAGTATTTTAAGCTCACTGTTGAGAACTACAGCTCAGGAAAAAAAAGTTTGTTTTTTTTTCCTCAAAATATTGCTGCTCCTTGACAATGCCTCTATTCACTCTAGAGCTCTGATGAAGATGTACCAGGATATTAATGTTTTCATTCCTGCTAACACAGCCTCCATTTCTGCAACCAATGGTTCAAGGAGTAATTTTGACTTTCAAGTATTATTCTTGAAGAAATAAATTTCATAAGGCTATCACTGCCACGGATAGTGATTCTTCTGATATATCAGAGCAAAGTAAATTGAAAACCACCTGGAAAGGATTTACTATTCTAGATGTCATTGAGAAGATTTGTGATTCATGGAAAGAGTCAAAGTATCAACATTAACAGGTGCTTGGAAGAAGTTGACTCACACCCTCTTGGATAACTTTCAGGGGTTCAAGACTTCAATGGCAGAAGTAACGGCAGATGTGCTGGAAATAGCAAGAGAATTAGAACTGGAAGTGAAGCCTGAAGATGTGGCTTAATTGATGCAATCTCACGAAGAAACTTGAACAGATGAGGGGCTGCTTCTTATGAATGAGCAAATAAAATGGTTTCTTGAGACAAATATTATTCCTGGTGAACATGCTGTGAACATTGTTTAAATAATAACAAAGGATTTCAAACACTGCATAAACTTAGTTTTTAAAGCAGTAGCACGATTTGAGAGGATTGACTCCAATTTTGAAAGAAGTTTACTATGGGTAAAAGGCTATTTAACATGAGTTCATGCTACAGATAAAAATTTCATAAAAGGAAGAATGAATTGATGCCACAAACTTCACTGTTGTCTTTTTTTTTTTTTTTTTTTTTTTTAATGGAATCTCACTCTGTCACCAGGCTGGAGTGCAGTGGCGCAATCTTGGCTCACTGCATCCTCCGCCTTCCAAGTAGCTGGGACTACATGTGTGCACCACCACGCCCAGCTAATTTTTGTATTTTTAGTAGAGACAGGATTTCACCATGTTGGCCAGGATGGTCTCCAACTCCTGACCTCGTGATCCGCCCACCTCAGCCTCCCAAAGTGCTGGGATTACAGGGCGTGAGCCACCGTGCCTGGCCCACTGTTGTCTTATTTTAAAAATAGCTGCATCTGCATCTACCCTATCCTTCAGCAACCACCACTCTGATCAGTCAGCATCCATCAACATCGAGGCACAACCCTCTACCAGTTAAAAGGTTTCCACTCACTAAAGACTCAGGTAATCGTTAGCATTTTTAGCAATAAAGTATTGCATTTTTAAATTAAAGCATGTACATTTGTATACATAGTGCTATTGCATACTCAATAGGCAACAGTTTAGGGCAAATATAACTTGTATATGCATTAGGAAACCAAGTCATTAGTGTGACTCACCTTATTGCAATGATTTCTTTATTGTGGTGATCTGGAACTGCGTCCACAATACTTCTGAGGTATGCTTGTAACTTAGTTGTAATTTGAAGCACAGAGGAGTCGAATTTTGCTAAGTTCACTTAGATAATAGGTAGAAGATTTAGTATTTGGAATGAAGTGTTCTGATTTGTGTTACTAACCTTTCTGTTATTTTGATTTCATGTGTAAGATGCTTTAGATACGAATACTAGGAAAAAAGTATCTTTGTAGGCACAGTTTGATTGGCGTACATTTTTAAGTTGTATTGGTGCCATGCACTAAGATACTATTCTTCTAAATTTATGTGTGCCATAGTGATGTATGAACATATGCTTTCCCATTTTGGGGAGATGAAACGAAAGCCAAAGATATGGTTAATTTTTGGATAATGTTCTGAATTATTAGTTCCTATTGGTTTCTCTAAATAATTAAAAATAAGAAAATAATAATACATTCACTCCAAATCCAAGATCTCTAGACATTTGAAATAGCAAGTAGAATTTGAGGTATTTCTGTTATTTTTCCTAAGCCCTCCAAATCTGCTTGTTTATTAATAGTCTAGAAAAAAGATAAAGATTCAAGTGTCTTTGAGTGTTAGTACACAAAGCTTTAAGAGTAACACACATTTATTGAGGATGTATTATGTGCTTAGTATTCTGATCAATACTTTATATAATCATGTCAAATGAGCTTCACAATTACCTTATGAGCAAGGTCATAATATTAAACCCATTTCGTAGATGAGGAAATAGAGTTTTAAAGACACTAAATTACTTACAGAGAGAGTAAGTTCTAAAGTAGTGATATTTCTCTAATTGTATTAAAGACTACTTGTACAAGAATTATGTCATGGTGCTTGTAAAAACCCACATCTCTGTGTGTCCTCAGGCTTCCCACTGAGTAACATCAGCATTTGTGTTTGAATGTCTCAATGTTTTAACCAACACCTCAGCTGAGATGTTTGAGAATCATGTTTATAAATTGTATTCACTAAAGAAGGGAAGCTGTGGGAAAGAAATGCAGTTTTTGCCTATTATCCTGTGAAAGGGTGCCTTTCCATGTATTCTATAAATACTTGCTGAGTTATTCAGCAAGAAGCAAGCATAGAGTTGTTAGGAAAAGAACTAACTAAAGCATTTTAACTTGTCCTTCTGTGTAGTAGCCTCTGGGCCTTCTTGAGAAGCATTTATTCATTTTACAAACCCCACGAGCTTTCTTACAAACTTTCTTTTCCTTCTTTTGCACAAAATTACTGCTGTTGAGTCTAACCAGAAATGAACTTGGAATAGTAACTGTCTTTGTGTAATGTCTTTCTGTTTCCTGTAAGCTAGGATCTGGGGTTGGTGCTGGTAATACAATAGTAAATGGAGAAGTCACAGTGCCTGCTTTTGTAAAGTTTCTGGTATAGTTAACACTACAAAGTTTTATTTTAAGTTGTAGAACTGTGAGGTATAAATGGAGAATGTATTATTCCTATGTTAAGTATGAGAAAATAGAAGGTAAAAAATCTATGTGACTTGTTCATTTTTGTACTTTAAGTGACATTATCTAAATTGTTCTACCGATTCCAAGTTTAGTATTCGTTTTGTTACATCATGCTATCTTTCAAACTTAGATATTCTGCACACATTT